GGGGGGGGGGATGCTCGTTTCCGATTTCTTGTTCGGGTGTCTGAGGCCGCTCCACAAATGGAAACTCGATGGCAGATGCTTTTGTTTTCTCAACAAGCAAATGCTTGAAGTGCTTTTTGTTTTAAACGTCCTCGAAAATGCAAATTATTTCTGTCAGTGTGTTCAAATAGTTTTCTGCCCCCCTCCATCCAGGGCTCGTCCAATGAGCAGGCTGGGATACAACTGTTCCTCGTGGAGTCTTTGCTGCAGCGGTTCGTCTTACAGCTTCGTCCACGCAAATCAGACCATCGGGCTTTCCGCCGGCGTAGAATCGGCGTCTTCCTGCACCACGACGAAGGACTGCTCTGCTTCTATGCGGTGCAGACTGAGGGATTTCGGCTCTTGCACCGGGTGAAGACCCAGTTCGAGCAGCCCCTCTACCCTGCGATGTGGCTCGGAGCGGAAGCCACGGTCAACCTCCGCGCCATCGACTGACAAGCAGCGACGTTTACAGATGCCGAGAGCTCGGCAAAAAAAAAAAAAAAAGCCACGGGCCTCAGTGCAAGAATCTTTTATTATGTGACATTAAAATGAAGTGTGGGAATGGACAGGACGAGAAGACAATTCTTTAAATCTTGTTGAAAGCCGCAACGTCGACGCTCTGAACCTGAAACGGCAAAAGCAAAACATTCGGATGAGTTGCACCGAAATATTGGGACGCCAAAACACATGTTCGCCGTTGAGAACGACAGTGGACGATGTCCCTTCTATGAAGCATTCTTGAAAAACATTTGACGACATTCAAAATAGAGAGGGGGGGGGGAAGACACGGCGGACAAGTGGTTAGCACGTCCGCCTCACAGTGCGGCGGCGCAGCGTTCGATTCCGGCTTCGGCCTTCCTGGGGGGAGTTTGCATGTTCTCCCTGTGCTTGTGTTTGTTTTCTCTTCGCTTTCCTCGCGCACCGTCAGTGAATCGATCAAATTATCTGTTGATGCGATTGTGGGCATGACTGGATTTTTGTCTGTGTGCGCCCTGCAATGGGCCGGTCGTGTCGCCCACCTACTGCCTGAAGACGGCACGCCCGCGACCCTCATGAGGATAAAGCGGATCGGAAAATGGATGGATGGAAGGGCTCTGAATGCAGAGAGCGCTTCGGTTGTCAACCTCATTGAGTCAAATAAATAAGCTGAGCGCAATGAATTGACTTATTTGTATTATTAACTTTGAATGAACAATCTAGTTTGGCCTTTGAATACGGTGCGCCGGATGCTCATGAAAATACGCCGAGTTGAAAAGGTTTGCCCGCCTCAACTCAAGTCAGCTGCGAACCGGGCAGCCTCGGTTCACTTTCTCCAGCCTGCGCCGTCCGCGTCGACACAGCGTCGGCGCTGACAAAAATGCTCGTGTGCCGAGAGTTCAGGCGGCGGTTGTCTTTTGTCGCGACTTTGTCACGTCCCGGCAAAAGCTGCGGCGCGTACGCGGAAGGCGACTTACGTAGTCTTCAAACTTGGTGATCTCTTCTTCCAACAGGTCCGTTCCAACCTTGTCGTCTTCCACCACGCAGGAGATCTGAAGCTTCTTGATGCCGTAACCCACAGGAACCAGTTTGGACATTCCCCATAAGAGACCGTCGGCTTGCACGGAGCGCACGCACTCTTCCAACTTGGCCATGTCGGTTTCGTCGTCCCACTGAAGAGACGCGAGCGGAAGACGAAATGCTTTTTTGGCTTTCAGGACGTTCACGGCTCCTCGGGAGGCCGTTTCGAGTCGGGATGTCTTACCGGTTTGACGTCCAGTAAGATGGACGACTTGGCGATGACGCCGGGCTTCTTGGCCTTCCTCTCGGCGTAATCTTTCAACCTCTGCTCTTTGAGTTTCTCGGCCTCTTCGTCGTCGTCATCGCTGTCAAACAAGTCCAGATCGTCGTCGTCGTCGAGGTTCTGTTTCGCCAGGCCGCCGGTCTGCTGGACGGCGGTTCCCTGAACGCATTATTGACAAGGTCGCTCACAAGGCGATCGCCGACGGCCACGGAGGAAGCAAAGTCAGCGTCCTCACGTTTGTGTAAGGGACTGAAGGAGCGGCGGCCGGCGCCACAGCCGCCGCCGCCGCGGGGCTTTTCTCCAAGACGGCTACTCGACATTCCAGCTTGGAAAACGATGCCCTCAAATCTTCGACCACTAAGGGCAAAAACAAAGAGACAGAATTTGCATTTTAAATTAGGACGGGACCAATTTGCGCATCAAACTGCTGCATTTTTGAGGGCACTTTTTCTCATCGTTTAAAAAAAAAAAAAAAAAAAAAAAAAAAATAGACCGAAAAAATATGTCATGTTAATCTGATTAAAAAAAAAAAACTTTGCACTGTCAACCACTCGTAGTACGACGACCGCCACGCCACTGGCCCCTTTTCCACCGCGCTTGTGCTAACGCTCGTTCCGGACCAGTTGCAAGTGCCACTTCTTTCTTTTTCCAGCGCCAAAATTGCCTCTGGCTCTTGAAACTGGTTCAGTTCTGAAATACGGCACTTCCATAACCACCCTGATCCAGAATTCATTCACAAATGTCTGCGCTTGGCATATTTGGACGGATTAATTAACTCATACAGTACCAGCCAATTCTGGACAAAGTCTGAAACGACGTCTTTGGGAGTGAATGAGTTAAAAGCACGCAGGTGGTATTTTACACCAGGGGGGAAAAAGCTAATTTTCTTGAAAATGGACCTACCTCGATATAAGCTTTTGTTCTCCAGCTCCAGGCTTTTGATTCGAGACATCATTTCTTGATCGGCGGCGCTGCTGCTGCAGGTGCTCTGCCACAGAAAGGAGGGCGACCGTTTCGTGATCGTTGCCAGACGATCGCTTTATTGGCGTGGCTTTTTTTTTCTTCTTCCTTTCCATTCAAATTATTCATTCCGAAAATAAAAGGTGCCAGCAAATTGGGCGCGTGCATTCAAAAGTTTCGAGAAGGTCACATTAAGTTCCCCTGTGAATGGCTTTGGAGCCTCGTCCTAAAATTTCACCTGAAAGCCAAACGTCGCCAACGTTTTGTGACAGAAAAGATAATAAAGCCTTTTTTTTTGTCTCACAACGGAGAAATTCCCAATTTGCAGCAGCAAAATTATGTGTGTGTGTGTTGTGTATTGTGACAGAAAAGCACAGCAACGCAAACTTACTCCTGCAAGCGACTTCTGAATGTTCTCCCGGGCACGAGCGATGTCTTGGAGGATGGCGTTCGCACCCGCATCCTGAAGATCCAACACGAATTGAGATGTCAGGAGAAAACAAACTCGCGCCTCGTGTTTAGCGGTGACGGAACCGCGACAAACTCAAGTCTGACTCTTGAGGGCGAGAGAAATACGGCTTCCTAATCGACCACAAGTTTTCAGAGTCAGGCTGCGTTAGAAGTTGACTGAAATTGCGCACAAGGCGGCGGCCACTTACGCAGACTGTCGGCGCCGACGGCGAGGAGCCGGCGACGCGCTCGAAGAAGCGGCGCTCTGCCTCATCGTAGCGACTTTTCTCAAACCAGATCTTCTCCTGGCCCGGGAAGTTAACGGCGCTCATGTTGCTGAAGAGCAAAAAAGGAAGCGCAGCAGCGGCGGCGTGAATGGACAAGACGGCGCCGAGCATTCACAATTTGTGTACACTTGATGTGATGACAGAGTGGCGCGAAACTCTTCAGTCGTTCCGTGAACTCGACTAGCGTGTGACGACTCTGAACGGCGGCAAACACAAAAAGCAACAACAAAAAGGGCATTTGTGAGATCGTACGCGACGATGGCCGAGTCAAACAATCGTTCGAAACAATTACGTACAGCAAATAAATGAACTGAATGAAAAAAAAAAAAAAAAAGAAAATTGAAGAGAAAAAAAAAGTTAAGCAGACGGAGAGGAAAATGAGAATGAAAAGAAGTGAAATGTCTGACGCTTATCCAATCTGCGGCTTTGATCATACTTTTCCCCGGGCCGGACGGTGACGTCCGGCCGCGACGAGGTGTCGTCCGTTTTGGGCCGGCGAGCTTTGGCGGGTTCTTCGGCTCCGCGGCAGGCGTGGAAACGCATCTCGGCCGCGTCGTACCTCCACTTGTCCAACCACACGCGCTCGCCGTCGGGGTGAAGAAAGTAGCCGACTCCCGCGTCGAGCCGCTCTTGTTTGCCGAGCGTCTCGGCGGGCTCGTCCTCCTCCTGGATCGGGTGCAGAGCGTGAAACACTTCGGCTTTGGCCTGCGGCGCCGGTCGCTGTTGCTCCACCGGCGCCGCCTCCGTCGAGCTTTGGGGCCGGCACATGCCGGAGGAGCCTTGGCGAGAATTGTTGCCAAACACGCTTTGGTAGAAGGCGGCTTCAGCGCGATCGTACAGCGGCTTCTCCAGCCAGATGTCTCCAAACATTTCTGCGAAAACGGGGGACAGCCCGTTAAGCGCCCGCTTAGTCGTCGGCGGGGGCGCCCTCTGCCGGGGCCGAGCGCTTACGGGAGTGGGCGGCGCCGGAGACCGGTGGTGGCCTTCCTCGGGCGCTCGGGCCGCGACGAAGCCCCGAGGGAGGACCGAGCCGCACCGAGAGTTTGAAGCGCTCGACTGCGAGGATTCTTGCGTTCCGTCTCGTCGACAAGCTTTCTTCACGGGGACCTCGCCGGCCGCGGAGGCGTTTGGCGGACCGGCGGCCGAGCCGTTCGACTCGCCGCTCGCTTTGGCCGAGTTCGCCAACCAGCACTGATAGAGGCTCTCCGCTCGCTCGTAAACGCTTCGCTGGAACCACACGTTGGCGCATTCCGCCTGCAGGGCAATCGGTCCGGCTTGGCGCTCGGGCGGCGGGCTTGCGTTGCGCTCCGACTTGTCTTCGGTTTTGGCTCCGCCGTGAACGTCGGCGTCGCGGGGAGTCTCCGGTTTGCGCGTACTTTTCTTGCTGCGCCGCCTTTTCCCGCTTCGCTTGGTATCGCCGTTGGAGCTTCCGCTTTCCGGGGAGGACGACGTTCCCCCATTTTGATGGGCGAAGTTTGGACACTCGGCGGCCGGGATGGCGCCGGAATCCGCCGGACTCTGGTTGGAAGGCTTATTAGGATCCAAGAGAGCGGCCGCAGAACACTGGGGGGTCTTCTGTGACATCTTTTGATCAGTTAGCAGGAAAAATAGAAAACAAGTACAGGCTCGTGTATTAGTTGCAGCAAAGTGGAACAAACTGGGCAGAAGGGACAGAGAACCCAAGACCCTTTCACGCATGCTTTGCAAATTTAAGGTTTTTTTTTTTCCACTATCTGCTGCAGTGCAGCACTGCCGCATTTTGATTTTCAGGACAGAAATGCAGATCTTTCAACACAAACTCAAATTGGGAGTTTAAAAAAAAAAACACAAGGTCAGGTCTTATCTTGAATAAGGTCAAAAGTGAGGTCGGTCTTGCTCATGTAAACAAAGTCGCTATTTACAGACTTTGATAACACCAAGAATAAATCATCGTTTCGGATATGCCGCTCCAGATGCCTTGTGGGCCTAATTTCGGTGACTTTGGAACTGCCAATTGCAAGTAAAGAGAAAGACGCGATGTGGGAAGTCTGGCGGCATCAAAAACCTTGAACTGTTTGCGACAAGTGTGAAAGGGAAACTTCAAACTTGGGACGCTGATTTCACTTCAGACCAAAGGTTGGAAAGTCATCGTTGGCGTACGATGGCAGCAAAAATCCGATTCAACGACATCATCAAGCAGCATGCGAGGGAGCGAAACGATCATGCAAATGAGCTCGGCAAGCAGAACGAAATCGGCTTTCTGGTGCAGAATCATCACAACTCAACCTGTGAGCGAGCCACCGAAAATACGAGGAACCCTTCAAGAGCCACAGAACTGCTGATAAAAGACGGATTCTTGCCGATGAAGTCATGAAAACGGCGATGCGCCTTCAAAGTCGGAAATGGTGGGCAGCAAACTGTCAGGAAGCTTTGCGCTTTTTGCTACGGAATAGCGAGACTGAACTGGCTGCCACGTGCAATCAAAATGTCGTGTTGTGTGCGCGCGCAATCTTTAACAACACATTCGTATTTCATTTCACTCCATTTTTTATTTCTAGAGCACTTTAAAACAACGACGGCTCTATGCAAAGTGCTGTAACATAGGGATGACAGAGGAGTGATGTGCTACGTCTTACGAGCACCAGTCAAGAGGAGAGCGGCAGTATTGTGGACCAACTGGAGACGCTCAATGGAGGATTGGCTGACTCCAAAGTCAAGTGCGTTACAGTAACCCAGCCGGGATGTGACGAAGGCATGAATTACTTTTTCGTCACAGTTGCTGTCAAAAAGAATGCGTGAGACCGCATCATTGACACTGTTGAACCATCAATCAAGTCGGAGGTTGAAATTTGATTTGGATCGCTTCATGCGGCCAACAAGGGCGGACACATCTTCAGTCTCGAAAATGAAACGGGCCCCTGACAAACATGGACGAGCGGTTAAAAAAAAAAACTGTTCCGACAAGGTTAGGCACCGTTCACAATGACCGAAATGGGACATCATGCAGCAGGCCATGCAGTTTGGGTGATGTGAATGCAGGAAATGCTTTCCCCTTGCGTTGCCGATTGCGGGTCGTCTTTGGGAAGTCATTTGCTGCAGTCAAGCAGCGCATGGCAATCGAGGTCTTGACTCACCGTCCTTGGGAAGATGCAATTCTCAAGTCTAAAATCAATTGCTCAAATGCTCTTCTTATCCGGTTAACCGCAAGCGATTGGAAAAGAAAGTTAAATAAACACATCTCGGTTTTGCAAAGTACAACAACCGGTGACTGGGACGTAATACATACAAAATAAATACGCTCAAATAAAGATAGATTCATTGCTTTCAGTTGAACCTCCAAAGCCCAACAGTCTGTCCCGCCAAGCGAGATGACTTCAAAGCGGTTCAATTTTCAAGACAAATCTTCCCTCAGAAAGAAAGAGAAAGTGAACTGATTTGTTCATTTGTGCCAGCCTTTTTTCCATAAAAAGAAGAACCGCCGATTAATTCTACGATACAGACGGCGTGAAAGCAACATCTTCAGGATGACGACAAATTGAAGATAATTCGAAGAGGAACAGATGAGCCCGGAACAACCTCCACAGAAAAAAAATCACGTTGGGCGAGCTCAAGCTCAGCACCGTAGTCGTGGTGACGTTAAAGATTGACTTCCGTACCCTTTGAACAGCAGCGGACCATCGTAACAGAATCAAGGTCGGGCTGACTGAGCCCGAAAGACGATCGGGGAAAAGCCACCATTGCCCTCAAAATTTAGGAGTGACGTCGCCGTCGCGAGGAGGACGTCGCGCAAGATGTAGCGCAACGCAGGAGGCTGCTGAAGAAGCTCGGCAGCGATGTCATCATTCGGTCGCAGCCTCATTACAAGCCTCGGACCATCAACCGGATGTAATAGAAAAAAAAAGAGGCAGCGCTGACGTCATTTCGTTTCAAATAGACCATTATTACGTCAAAAGCAGCGAGCCCCGCTTTCCGCCGCTCCGGTATCGGGCCCCATTCAACTCGCGAGCCGTTTGCTAGCAGTGGCTAACACATGGCCAGACTCCCAAAAACGGCGGCGGATCATTTTGGATCCCCTCGCGCTCTACTACTCCAACGAATGGCAGCAAACAAGCCCGAGTCCCAAAGTCGCAGTAGTCAGTGGCACATTGACTTACTGTTGTCCTTTTGGTCTGGTCCGTGCGGGTGCAGCAGCCAGTGGACGAAACGTGACTACGGCGAGGAGGAAGGAAGGAGACGAGGAGAGGCTGGACGCATGCTCGTGATGATGTGTCAACATGGGGGTATGGGACAAAAGCACGTTCGCGCCTTGCTCGTGTGACGTGGTGATGTCACTAAAGTGCTGAAATAAAAGTGTCGTTTCAAAAATGTGGCCATTGCTTATAGTAACTGAACCGAAGCGAGTACCAATATTTTGTGGTTAAGTCAGTTGGACATGTAGAAATTGGGGACTACAGCGTGAGTGGCCCCTTTATTCATGTTCATGAGTTTTTTTTTCCCAAAATGCTGATAAACATTCATTCAAGAATTTCCGCGAGTAAACGCTTTAGTCAGCCATTGATTAATTTTCATTCTTCTATTTTTTTTACACACACGCACACACAAAGAAATTCGTGAAAAACGTTGAGAAACATTCAACATCGCTTTTCCATGGAAAAGGGTTGCCAGAAAAAAAACGTGTGAAAAAATATTAAATGAAAAAAAATAATCTGCGAATATGCGAGCTATTAATGCAGAACAGCGAATATGCATCGGCTGTAATCGGATGGCAGACATGGTTGAGTTGCGATTGTACCGATATTATGCTACATTCGAGGAACGATACGAAGTCGGACTTTTCCGATCTCCGACCAGGAAAAGTGCATTGGAACGCCCCTTTAAACTGGGAGAGACAACTTGGTTTCCACGAGTCATTCCGTCAATTATTTTTGAAACAATGTTCATTTATGTTTACATTTCAGACATTAACAACCGTAAAATTCTACTTTTGAAATCATTAGATTTTTCCCCCATACGTTTTAAATATCAATGTACTGACCAGACAAACAATATTTTGAGGATAGATGACAAAAGAAATATTTTAATCTTTAAACAGCAAAACAGAGAAGAAAGCATACTTTGCAATTAAGACTTTACAGAGTTTGAAGAGGATGTGCACAGGTATTATTTCATGCTTCCTGATCCCGCTGTCTTTCGACCAAGCTCCCTCGCTCTCTCAGTTGCAGATTCCACGGCAGCCATGGTTGATGCCCTCACACCTCCTTGTTCCAGCGCATGAAGCCCGTAGATGGTTGTGCCACCTGGGGTGCAGACCTCCGAACGCAGCTGAGCTGGATGCTTGTCGGACTCAAGTAATAACTGACCAGCACCCTATAACAGAAAGAAGTGGCACTTATCCATGCCAACATTATTTGATAGGATTCAGTCTGATTTCCGCAGAATGCCTTTGGTAGCCCACTCGAATCCCAAGTCAAATGATTTATTTGTGACTTTGGTTTTTAAACACACTGCTATGATTTTGAACATAATTGTACATTTATGGCAGCTGCCGTTGCCCATACGGCTATATTAATAATGATCATGACGAGCTTTAACATCAATATTGACAGTCCACGCGTCCATGAAACTGACCAGAACAGTCTGAGATGCAATTCTATGGGCGAGAGCGCCGGGCATGCCCATTTTAACTGCTCCTTCGGCCAGGGCCTCTGCAAAGAGGTATACCTGCAGAGGAAAATAATGCCATTCACTCACACGGTGATTATTTGAACAGGTTGACTTGCAGAGTGCGCCGGTGAAAAACAATCAGAAATCCAGCTGATGGGAAGTGAAGCACATGACATATCATGTACGCCACTGGCCACGTGCACACTGTCATACTTCAGTTCTTGGAGCAGTTGAAGCAAACACACTCACAAAGGCAACTCCGCTCCCGCTCAGTCCAGTGTGGATGTCAATCCAGGCCTCGGGTCCCTCTTCAACCAAACCACAGCGCTGCAACAAGGAGCACAATAGAGCACCGTGCTCTTGTTTCGCATGAGTCCCCCGTGTAAATAAGAGTGCCCCCTGCAGAACCACGCATGGAAGATTTGGCATCAGCCTGATGACACGTGAACCCTCGGGCAGGAGCTTTGTACAGGTGATACAAAAAAAAAAAAAAAAAGATGATCACATTGACTTGATACACGTAAAGGTCACGTGCTTGGGCACTCACTTCCTCTAATGTTGCCAGCGTGACTCCGGCGGCAACGGAGACAATCGTGTGTCTGTCGGTGACGTGGTGCGAGATCTCACTGAGAACTGTTGGAACTAAATGAGGTTTTACTGCTACAAAGAGAACATCGCAACTGCACACGACCTCAGTGTTGGAGTGAGTTGTGGAGATGTTCAGCTCCTGAAAGCAAAGACACTTGTTACGGTACTTTTTTATTTTTTAACAAGTGGATAGACATTTTTATTTTTTACCTCAGCGATAACGCACGTTTGATTACTTTGTATCTTCTAGCGCATGTGAAGAAACTGACAATAAAAATGTACAAACTTGACTGGCTCTATTTTTTTTAAATATTTTCGGTGATTAATCAGCCATATCGCAGTGCCACCGATTCTATGAAAAGTGCAACATAAATTGATTTATTGACATGAATTTAACTGTCATCAAACAAAACACACGATCGGAACGAGATGTTACCTGAAAGCGTCCGAGGTTCCTGAGAGACGGCGCGCTCACTTTGACATTCGTAGGGGGAACATTCCCTTTAATGAGACAATATGTAAGATCATCAACGCTAAATTGAAACACCAATGTGCGAGTTATGTTAGGTATTGATTACTGACCAGACAAGATGCCCTTCGCAATGCCGAAAGCCATGTTCCCTGCACCAATGAAGCCAACTTGTAATTGGGAGTCCATCTCAAGGGTCAAGCTTGAGAAGGAGTCAGTCAGCTCAAGCGTTCGAGGCAAGCACCTTTTCTTGGGTGTATGAACTAACGGGACAACCTAAAACAAAGATGAAGCCTAATTTATAAACAGTTGCTGTATGTTGACACACTATTTGGCGTGATATCTAGTTCTGATCAGTGGATGGATGGATGGATTTGAAAGGAATGTCGCCCCTGCCAACATGGCCGCCACCTGAGCACGTCGGTAAACCGGCCATGCAGCAACGGTGCGCTGGGTTGTCTCGCGACCAACGCCGACATCTGCGTTTAGCGACACGCGGCAAGAGTTTTTGTACTGCACTTGTTTACCATGCTCATAAAACACAAGCAGAGGAAGGCTTATTTATACAGCACTCTCAACAGAGAATGGATGAAACGCCGAGTTTAACTCTGGAGAGACATCGCCAAACGCTTGACGGTGATCCGCTTGAGTAGAGGTTGACAACCGTACAGTTGAAATGATAACTTTCGATTAGCTGGACTCACCAGAGGTTTCCGATTCACCAACCAAACAAGGAGGCTCGTGCAACGCTGTCAGGAAACTTGGCTTGATTTGGACCTCACTGCTGTGCTGACGCTGCGCGATATGGGCGGCCCCTTTTTTCGCCCAAATAGTAGCGTACGAATAAATGCCTGACCTTATTGTATTATGGTATTTAAGGATGTGGTGTCAAGTCGAGGAGAATTCATGCAGCACTGTACTAAACGTGCGTTAGAAGCACTTTCCTGTCAATTGTAAAGAAATCGAGCGCACCCTTAGCCCGCCCACTTTTGATAATCGAGTAATCCCATTGGTTGTATGCTTGTTGTGAAGCGTGGGGATGTGGTTTACAAAATTATAAATTATTTCCATCAGCCGTGGACAGCACCAAGAAATGGGTCACTCTTAATCGTTGTCTTGCAACATCAAATGACAGGTGGGTTTTTTTGGTTGTTGTTTTTAAAAAAAAAGTCATGGTACACCAGCACGTCTTTCGATTTGTCACGAATTTTGTCATATAGTTAAATTTGTAGCGAATCAAAGGTGTAGAAAAGGTTGAAATGAGTTCACCTGCAAAGGTTACATAGTTCATTGTAATTTCATCCTGAGCTTGACTCCGAAAGACAAAAATCCTTAACTTTCTGTTACTGATGTAGATAAAGATGCATGCATCACGAGTGCAACTATTTAAAATTGCGTGCCGTTTTTTAAAGTAATCATTTGGCGAGTATGTGTGTCGTTGACCACAACGTTATCGGTGCAGAAAGGAGCGATTTTGAAACTGCGCGTGTGAGGTGAGCCTCAGCCTCACAGCGGGCATGTCTGGGCAAAGCAAAGCCTCGTTGACGACTGAGCCATTTTCCCAATTATATTGTTTCAAATTATACAGTGATTTAAGTTCATACACTGTATAACATAAGCCTATTATTCAACAAATGCCGGTGCAATCTTGAACAAAAATATTTTAAGAGCGTTTTCCTCTGGTGTATGAATCACGACTCATTCTAATCGTTATATTTATGTCGAAATATGTAGAGTGCACGTTTTTAAGTTATTGAGCCAATGTTTTATTGTTGCAGACATGGTTCACCTCCCGTCCTCTTACAACTACCTCCTGCTACTCTGCATCCTTGCCAGCAGCTTTCCAGCAGTCACTGGGCTCTTTGAGTGGCTGAGGCAGAAGGAGGAGGATCCTCCAGGAGGAACGGCAGCAGCGCCTTCGCTGCCTCCTCCTCCTCCACCTGCAGATTCAGATCCCTCAATTCTAGCTGTGGAAGCGCGGTTTGAAATGGCGACCACTGATGAGAAGTTCCTGGCTGAGGCCAAGCAGATGGAGCTAAGTCCTTTAGATAGCTGCCACCACAAGGTAAGAGGATGTCTCACTCACACTCAAATCAAAACTATAAACGATGAAAACACGTTTTCGAACATGTGGCCCATCTACTTACGGGAAGTAAAAATTGAAGCTTTGTTCAGGGTAAGAGGATGTCTCACTCACAACACGTTTTCGAACATGTGGCCCCTCTACTTACGGGAAGTAAAAATTGAAGCTTTGTTCATTTCCGATTTTGGTTCCCAACGCCATCGCAGCTGCATCATACAAATGGTCTTGCTTGCAAGCGCGATGGCAGTTTAACAAGCTGTGCTCTGTAGGTGGTGGCTCAGTTAAAGGCAAGCTGCGAAGCGCTCTCGGAAGAGGAGCTGGCAAAACTTGGCGTCCTATTGTTCAACTGCCAGGCGCAGATTGAGGGTCGCCAAAGTTATCCGTGCACAGAACAGATGGTAAGCCACAAAATGTTACAGTATCATAAATAACGTACCGTAATTTACTATTGAGCGCTCATGAATAAAGACTGCACCCCCCAATTTAAAAAAAAAAAAAAAGGCATTTTGTACATGGACTATAACCCCCCCACTATCCCTCAGATGGATAAAAATGGCTTAACTCATATTCCACAAATGCAATATTAATCGGAATGCCGTGTTTAGACTAGTGAGGGCACACAGACCGGATTCTTTTTTTGAGTTGACCTTTCCTTGAAGGCGATATGTTGCCAGGCCTCACGGGGTGCTCTCATTTGCCTTTTCAGGCTATCAAAGAATGTACAGCAAACATGGACTCCGACACTTGGAATGCCTATCACATAGTGAGCAACAGGGCTCGCGCTGTGTGCTACGCAAGTCGCCAGCAGCTATTTCGGCGCAGGGCGGTGAAAACTGTAAACATGCTCATCGCCTCAGCTGCCAGCCAACTGTCTGCCATGGAGGACCTTAAGGTACTACATACAGTACATCTTTTTTTTTTTTTTTTCCTTGGTCCTCTTCCATTTTTAGTCAGAGTACAATTACATGCGCGGAGGCAGACAGATCTACGATTTTTTTTTTTTTTGGGGGGGGACCCTAATGTAGTGTTTTTGTGACAGGATGGCCAATTGGCACTAAGAGAGATGACTGCGGCATCACTGGACAAGCTCGTGAAGGGCCACAGTGCACTGCAGACTCAGCAGGCCAAGCTGCGGGAAGGCCAAGGTCAAATGGAAAGTTCCCTGAGAGACAACCTGCAGCGTCTGGGTCAGGAGAAAGCCCTCATTGCCTCGGGACAAGAACTTGTGGCCAAGCTTATCCAGGGAATTACGGACAGAATGGGTGAGAGCTTTTGCTGCATCAAGACCAGAGCTGGCCGGATCCCAGTCAGCGTTGGCAGAATTCATGGTTGAAGTAGTATTGATGCAATCCACGTTAGGGGTACCCAAACTTTTTTTTAAACCCCAAAACTACTGTTTAACCTTTCTTGCTGAAGCTCTTGTGAGTGAGAACATGCAGATCCAAGGATCAGAAGTGCAGGAGAGCCACAGAGCAATCGTTCAAGACCTCGCTGATGTCAGACAGCAGGCTCAGAGCATCCATCAAAAACTGGGTATCAAAGTCAAATCGAACAGTTGCGCCACAGTTGGAAAGATCGGTGTTGCGTGATTGGCTTTTTTAAAAATTTTTTACACGAGCCAACCTGTGACTTCAGATGACAGCATGTCAGAGTTTCTCGAGTACCAGGACCAGACGTTGCACTACTACACTGATCTGATGGGCAAACTGGAGCGCATGAACAGCAGTCTGGGATTCGTGCTGCACTTCCTGGATGAAACGCAGGGCCGAATCGAGGAAAGGCTTCGCGCCATTCAGAGTTACCTCGGCTGGGCAGGTGAATTGCGCACAGCGCTTAGGTTAGACTTGGCTTTTTTTCTCTTTTGTTCCCATCTCCGTTATTTGTCTTTCCAGGTTTAAGCATCACCGCGATGTGGACGTGTATTGTGCATACCAGCTATTTTGTACTATTTGCCGTCGTCCAGTCATTCCTGCGGTGTCCACTTTTCTCCCGTGCCACACTGCTGCTCACTGTGCCCTTGAATGCCGTGGCGGAGGTGAACCAGCAGCCGGCGCTGGATCTGGCAAGTCTCAGCTTGCTGATCGTCACGCTTTCGCTAGGTACGAGCGCAAAGCTGAGTGCGAAAACTTTACTGACATTGATTGGTTGTCATGTCACCCCCCCTTTTTTTTTTCCACTCAGGACATTGGTTTGTGAGTCAGTTGTGGGTTCAATTTCCGAGCAGAGGAAACCCATCTGCTGCATTGCCATTCATTACTTTTGAATTGGCGGAGCCGCAGAAGTCTCATCACGCATATCCGCCATCCTCAACGCCTCAAAAGTTAGTCTGCAAAGTTTCAGACGGCCACCAAATTTAATTGCAAATGGTCTACTTTGCATCTCTTTCTCCTCAGGAAAGGGCACGGCGGCATCGAACGGAACGACCCGCTGAAACAAGAAGGCGCGACATCAAGTGGGAATCTTTTACCGACGTCGTTCAACGTCAAAGTAGTCGAATGAGGTGATACCAATGTGGTTCCTGTTTTTGCTTTTCGATATCCAGGTGATTTTGGTATACCGGAAGGATCGTCTCACAGGAAACCTGCAGCAAGTAGTCTCCCTCGTCACTGCGCATCTCCATTTCTACTGCAGCGTATTTGTTCAGGAGTAAGCACATTCGAGGAATGTTTAAATCACAGTGCAGTAATAAAATCAGACTTTTTTTTTTTAAGGCTCTAATTGATGATATCACTTCCGGAAACCCCCAAGGGGCTTTTGACCCTTTGAATTACTTTCACGATATTGCGAATGACTCCAGAAGTGCAAGTCCCACACCGTCAGTTAGCAACAGGTCAGTGGTCGAGACAAGCCAATTGTATTGTTCTCTTTTGCACTCATTGCTAATATCATGTTGGGTGAAATATTGTTTTGGATTTTTACCTGAATGGTGCATTGTAGGTTTAAAAAAAAAAAAAGCAGTTTAATTTGTGCGGGATGGATGAGCAGTCTCATTAAAATCTTGATTTTCTTGTGAAAATACAACTGCTGGTCTTTTCAGCTCGCTATCGGGACGTCCGCTCTGCAACTCGATCACCAAAGCTGGGACCGCGTGCAAGAAGAGAGCGCTGTTTGGACAAGATTACTGCAGAGTTCATGAAGGCAGACTCAACCCGTCTTTTCACTCGTGAAGTCAAATGTGACCTCTGAAATCAGCGGGATTTCAGCTTTTTATGGTTAACGTGTTTTTTTTTTTTTAATGACCCCCATGGAGTAGTAATTTTAACAACCTAAAATAAACACATTCAAACTGACACTTCTATTATATTTGACTCGGATGTCAAAGTTACCAAATGAATTAGGCACAGTGTGATCAAAAGATTTGAGTGAAGCGCAGGTCCTTTTAATGTGCAAATGTGGCGGTGAAACACAAAGAATGAATCTGAAGCACCCGTGGCACTAAAATTGAGGTTTGTGTGTAGCATTCTTTCAGGGGCACCTTGTTCTCTGCAGCCAGGCAAGTACCGGACCGTCACCTCTCTGGTCCCTATCCCAGCAAGCTCACAGATTGTTTTCGTCCACACCCGAGCACTGGTTTCACTTGCGAGCTGTGTCGTAGTTTGTAACGAACCAGTCGCAGGTTTCCTTGAGAGCTGCAAGGACATGGAAGTCAGTGGACAGCCCTGATCCAAAAACCGCTTCGCAGGCTCACCTTGTTTGAAGGGCGTGAAGCGGAAATCCGGGCGATAGCGGCACAGCTTGGCGTTGCTGGCCGTCTTTTTCAACTGGCCGTCTGATTTACTCTTATCATACTGCAGCGATGGTCAAGGCAATTGGAGTGAAAGGGCAAGTTTGAAACAGTTTGGACAGGCCATAAAAAGTATAACTCGGTATTTAGTGGTGAAAACTATTTGGGGGGGGACAAAAAAAAAAAAAACAATGCTTAAATTGCACATTCTTGAAATTAACTTGTTGGAACGTGCCGTGTAATTTATATTTTCAGTAGCACTTAGAAATAAACGGCTATTGCCAACCTAATTCCTCACGCACATCTAGTTTGGAAAACAGTTTCCAATTCAGTGATCTAGGAGCTGCTAAATATAAAAACAAAATTGTGTCCGAACCTTAAACTGCATCACCTCTTTATTAAGTCGACCAACGTGTTTGTAAAGTTTCGTTAATAGTTTTGCGGACGTGTTCCCAGAAGCCAGTTTATTGAGTGCTGCAAATAAAAGTAACTTTGCTGAGGAACGACACCGACACACCCTCCGCAGCCTTAAAAATGGGCCGTGACGACATTTGACTGACATTACCTTTGCATGTACTTGATGTTAGGATACAACCACTTGGCCTTTAAAGTCCAGTGCTTGCACAACCGCGTCTGCTGCGTCTTTGATTGACACTTCGTCTTCCTCCCCAACTGCAGTCGACAGACAAAACAAGTGCACTCTGATTTGGGCCGTTTTCATTTGGCTCACAACACGCAGGACAAGAACTTACCGGAAAGGATGATGGGCTCAACCTCAGGATATTCCATCAAAACCCACAGGAGGAGGCGTGCCAAATCCAAAGAGTATACGAACTGCCTTTGGGGAGTGCCGGAGCCCCAGACCACCAACGGCTTCCCCTCCTCTACGTGGCATAACGGTGCACGTGCATACTGTTAGTACACATTATCACTTTATGTCAAGTCTTGCGCGTGACAGTGCTGCTGTGTGGAAATACGGCTGTAAAAAAAATAAAATAAAAAAACCTTGAACCAAAAGTGCTGAAACGGTTTATTGCCGACAGAAAAAAAGATGCAACTTACTTTTGGCAATGTACGTTTTGTGAATTAGGCCGGGCAGCACGTGACCATCTTCGATACTGAAGTTGTCATGGGGACCAAACACATTAGTGGGGATCACAGCCGTGTAGTGACGACCATGCTGCTGGAAATAGGCCCTGTGCAGCACCACCAATGCAGTTTTATTAGACAAGTGAAAACATTCACAGGCTGCTGCGTCTCCTCTCCACTAAGCCATTGAGAACCGCAACCTTTCAAACTCAGAAATCTGCCGTGGGGACAATTTGTTTGTCCTCTTTTGCAGTTATGAAGTCACCAATCCTAAGGACTGAATACATTACCTGTTTTGGACATCTACCATTCTTTTTGCATAGGCGTAGCCAAAGTTGGACTCGTGAGGTGGGCCGTTATGGATCTGTTGAAAAGGAACAAAAACACATTTGGGCCGAATGACACGGCAGTGTTCAAGCGATACTATTTGTTTATGCATCATGGCAACGTAAATATAAAAATATGCATGAAGCTGACACCTTCGGATCAGAATCTGAGCTCTTCTAAATCCGGATTATAATGAACACGAATTGGACATCAATCAAAATGCTAACTGATTGATTGACCTTCCCAAAAGGCCATTTAAATGACAAATTTCTATTGAAAATCTGTTTTTTAAATATGAACAAATCGACTCCGGCCACTGTCTTAGAACTGAATATTTTTCTGATGTCATCAAAATAATCACCAGAATAGGATGCTGTCAAAACATGATGTCATACCACATAAACAGCACTTACCATCGTTTCATCGATGGGATATGTGGTCTTATCCGGAAATATGCAGGTGGACAGACAGGAAATGACCTTAACCACACCTACTTCATGTGCAGCCTGCAGCACATTGTCATTGATGTGGATGTTATTCCTCTGAAAAGAAGAAACGCAACAGCTGTTAGAGCTGGCGAGTTTGACAATTGTCATTCCAAAAGGGCAAGCTGTGAAAGTTCAACTGAATGCATTTATTGTACCCAAAAGTCCAGGTTGCTCTTCAAGTTTTTGAAAAGTCCTCCCACCATGGCAGCCAGGTGGATAACATGGCTTGGCTGGTGTTTCTTGAACAGATCCCGCGTCTCTTTCATGCTCCTAGAAGACCCAAGCATACAAGGATCACGAAAAAAAGACAATTGACAACTCCCTCCAAATATTGTTTGAGTGTTTTGTTTTCGCCCACGTGAGATTGGCATCTTTGGAGGACAGGAAGATCCACTCTTCACCTTCGCAGCCTGCCCTTTCCTCTTGGACCACACGTTGGATGGCCATCCCCACCAAGCCAGAGCCTCCAGTCACCAACACCCTCATCTGACCACTTACAGCTCTACTGCATAAACACACTATAAGCCAGAAGGTGACAAGAGACTTTTTAAATTGCGCGATATAGGAAGAATTTCGCGGGCTGGTCACTGAATCTACAGGAAGGCAAGTGGTCAAAAGTAACGATTTTGACAGACAGGGCATAGAACGAATTTAAACGACTAAGTAAGAAAAGGTCCATAAAGATCGTATATTTGAACATTTAAAGCGACCGAGTTTATTCTAGAAAGAATGGATGAACACTTGTGCGTGACAGAAGATGAGGCTTTACTGAAGTCGCGAAGTACACGCAAAGTAAAAGTCGATGTTAGCTAACACTTAGCACTTGGGCATTTTTACAAGCATCTGACAGCATATAATGGGTACCTCCTCGTACAAAGTCGTATCGCTTGAATCCTCTTCCACAAGAACGCGTTCAAAGGTTTAACATTGTAAATTCAAGACGAAAAACATCGTCCGTGAGAATGATTTAAGTATACGACATCCGTTCTATGAAGTTGCGACTGTATACAAACACAAGCGGCTCCGCCTTCAAAATAAAATACATAATTGCGATCTGGTGTGGCGGAAGTTAGAAACTGGAAATCCGTTATAGCATATTTGTTCACTTTAACAACCAGGATGTTACCTCTGTTCACGTTTGCAGTGTTTGTTCTCGACCTTCACTAGTTTTCACAACATACTGTGGACAAGTATGTGTGTAAAATCACCAGGCTTCTTCATAAAGTGGCAACGTGCATGTACTAATGTTGATTTGTTTTGCAACTTTCTCTCTCTCCTCTTAATTGGTGCTTTGTCATTGCAAGTTTTTGTTTCGCTCATTAGGTTGATGCAGATGCTTAATATAGAAAAACAAAGGGAAACATGAAATGTGTCAAAAGTCAGCACATATCAGCGTCCACTTAAAGGGCTTGGTAAAGACCAAATAAACTTTAGCTGGTCGAGTTGGCTTTTCATGAAGCCTTAAGGTTTTGTGCTCACAATGACTTATATTTGGAACGACTGACAACTCCTTACTGCTCGACTAAGGCCCCAGTTCCCAAAACATGATGCTACCACCACCATGTGTTGCTATTATGTTGGTATGGTGTTCTTTTGGCCATACAGTATATTATTCTATTGTGTTGTCACAAAACATTGTTTTTTTTAAATTATGATTTTGTTTTTAAGTCTCACAATATATATAGTGTGTTATGGTGCAACAACCTACATTCTTCTACCTTTCGCCACAGTCAGAATATTGGAATACATTTGTTTTTTTTGTGTGCGTGCGTGTGTGTGTGTGTGTTTCCAAAGGAAAGAGGAGCATGCTAGGTAGAAGTACTTTTTTTCTTTCAACGCAGACATTTGATGGAGAAGACGACGACACAACCGTTTTCTCCTCGATTGTGAAACACTGTTTTCTTTCTTTTTTTTCATACAAGAGATCATAAAGTATACACAGCATCTGGATCAAGACCGCTCGGCAAAAGAAAAAATAGAATGCACACGTCAGGAAATCAGGGTTAACAACGTACCCTTTAACACTTGTTAATATACTTTCTCCCAAATTTTTTCATTGCCCCAAACAAATCAAAAACTGCTCGTGCATCAAACTGATGAAGAACATGTGAAAAACATACATGACATAAAAATAAAACACCTATTGCACAAGTGAGACAAATACAGCATTAACGGTGTGAATTGTTCCCGCTCAAAGAGCAGTACATGGCGCGCGGCTGAGGTTTCACAGTAGAGCTCAATGGAACAGACAAGCTAGGCTAGAATGAACAATGAAGCAAATTGGATAATGTCTGACAAGCACAAATAGCGCACTAGAAGCATGCTCGCTGGCGGGTAGCTACTGTCCATGTTACCTTGTCACGACAGATGCTTTTAAAAGTCCATTGGCAACGTTTCAAAGGAAATAGGCATTTCGACCATACGAGTAGAGCTAGCCTGCGAGATCACAGCTACCTGCTGTTTTTAAACAATTCCAAAAGATAAGCCAAAGCATCTTGTTAGCTGACGGCTTGTGACTAACCAAATCATACTGTAGCGATATGTGGTCAAGTTAGCGAAGTAGAAATTAAATAGGCATCTAAAAATGTCGGCAGTCCAGGCAAGATAACATGGGCAGAGCTAGGCTGCGTGATATCTGTTAGCCTGCTAGCCAGTTTCAAAGGGTGGGGGGTGTGGGACTAGTCATTTCATCAACACGCTCAATAAAATTATTGATTTCATGTCTTAGCTGCTAAGACATGCTAAAATGCTAGCTTGTTGACATCACATAAAGCAAAATAAAATTTTAAAAAGCTAAGTTAGCAGTTCAGGCGAGAATACACGTACATGACAACATGAGAAGAGCAAGCCTGTGAGCTAGCCTCCAGCTTCAATGAAAGTCACATGCAAAGCCGCCATTTGTTCTATCAATTCAGTCAAGAAAACAATCGGCTTGTTAGTTCGGAGTGTTAGCACGTTTAGCTTCGCGACACAACTTCAAATGAAACAGCAAAAAGTGGATGGGTGAACTGTAAACCTAAAAAAAAGCGGGAAGAAACACCCTCATTTGAAATGCAGTGGATGTGGCGCCTACATGGCAACTCAGAGACTTCACATTGGCAGGAACGTTTGTATTGGGGGCGGGGGATAAGAACGACAAAGCAAAAAGAATAAACCATCTTGCAATCAAAGTCATCCTTTTTTACAGTCCTGGATCGATACTCACTGATAAAATTGTAAATTTCCCCAGTGTGGGACAAATAAAGGATATCTTATCTTAAAAAGACAAATATTGGCCATTTTGGGTGAGTTTCTTGCTCTTATTATAACCACTTGTGCTTCACGCAGGAGTAGAACAGCCAGCGGTGTCAAATTCAGACTTCTATTTACAGAGACATTCTGGGGGGGGGGGGGGGGGCCCCCCCCCCCGGCCCCCCCAAGTGGGTGGTATGTTTGTCTTGTAGTAGCACCCCATCCCATCCAACACCGCAATCATAGCATCCAACACATATCAAGGTGTTTTTTTTAAGTGGTTGAGATTTGCAAGGAAGCGCAATGTAAACCTTCCTATCATCAGGAATAAATAAGTACGGCAGGTCTCATACAGAGAAGATAAATGATGAAAAATGTCAGTAGTGTGTGTGAGTGTGTGTGTGTGTGTGTGTGTGTGTGTGTGTAGTCAGTCACGGCCATTCGGTCGCTGCTTCAAGTACATAACAACAAAAAAAGTTAGTGAGTGGTTAACACATTTCCAGTTTCTACCGGGTTCCTGTTCTGTCCAACATCATCACCAGTTATAGTTTCAAACATCTCCAAATCAAAATCTTAAAACACTTGTGTTAAAAAAACAAACAAACAAAAAAACAACAACAAACAATTCCCTCATAAAGTTATCAAAATTATTAAATGTGTGCAATCACAAGCTAATACTGCTACCGCTACTCCTGTTTTCTTTTTGTTTTTGTCTGCTAGTGGAAATTGACCCATCCATTTGGAGCCTATCCCTTTTGAAATTGGATGAGTCACCAGCCAATCACAGGGCACAATATGGACAAACAATCACGGCGTCAGGGAATTTAGAGTCTTCAATTAAATGGAACAACAACAAGGTGAAAAGCGGGAGCAAATGTCGCGATGTGCCAACTCTCCAAATTGTCTTCCATTTTGTTGGCCAGTATCAGGATTGGACTCTTGGGCAATAACACACTTGAAATAGAAACCAAAAGGAAGGATGATGGGGCGAAAAACCACGAGGTAACGTTGCTTACCACTAACATACCAAATGTCCATCTTCCATTTTGTTGTGGCACGTTTGGACAATGGAGGTTTAACAAAAAGAAACACTGAGTGGAGGTTTTCCAGCCTTTTTGTCCTTCTCATCACAGTGAATTGTTAACAATGACGATGATGATGTAGAGCGTCTAATCCCATTCAGTCATTCTGGAGCGTTTATTCATGTTTTTTTTTTTTTTTTTTTAAGCACCAGCGGATGCTAACCGACGCTGCCTGAGGAGACAAGGGCGCCTGGGCTTAACGCAATACTCGGAAGTGGGTTGCGTTTTTTTTGTTCATCCTGAAGTTGTCAATGGTGTGTGTGTGTGTGTGTGTGTGTGTGTGTGTGTGTTTAGAGAATATTCAAGAGTCATGTCGGTGGGCGACTAGTCACGCGTTGGACATCTCAGCCTTGCTGAGGGCAATGGCGAGCTCCAGGTCTTCCTGCTCCTGCTGCCGGAGACGCTTCAGGCGCTCCCGCTCGGCCCGTTCGCTCTCGCGCTTGGCCCACTCCAGCTGCTGAGCCTCGTTATTAAACTGACACACACACACGCACGCACGCACGCACGCACGCACGCGCGCACGCACGCACGCACACACACACACACACACACACACACACACACACACACACACACACACACACGAGTTCAATGCTCGCTTCTGCTAACATGTCCAGGCATCCGTCTAAAGAAGTCCCCTTCACAATGCTCATCAAAGGAAGCTTTTTTTCAACCTCTTTCCCTGCTCGTCTTGTGTGGAGGCTTGGAATCATTTGGCCAATCAAAATTAGTGTTACTTTCACGCACTTGACTTTTTCATCTACGGGTAGATATGAAATAAGTATTCTTGTAAATCACAAAATGCATTTTTTTTTTCTGTGTGCACACATGTGCATTTTTGATTGGCTATTAGAACTGCGACGCCCTGCACCGGCAATTGAAATTTCAAATCGTCCGAAAACCAGTGGCCGACTATCAGCCGCGCATGAAAGGGAGTTGTCGAACCCCGCGCAAGCCTGCGCGACAGTGCAGTCGCAATCTGCCTCGTTGGACAGTGCGCATTCTGAACACAGTAAGTAAAACCAACATCTGTGGGTTAAAGTATATCAAACACCAGGTGTTGGATACAGCATCTAAGCCATGAGGAAAAAAAAAAAAAAAAACAGAATATCTTGTCGATTGTTTTCAAATCTCGATATGAAAAAGTCAAACTCACCTTGACTTTGTCAGGTCCTGTCAAGGGTGAGAGAACACACGTGACACGTTACATCAACTCAGTAGATCAAGTCATATCATTGCTGTCGGGGAGAAAACCCATATATCCAAAGATGGTCAATTTCATCTTTTTTTTTTCTTCCGTAAATCAGTATGGTGTACTGTTGCCACGTGGTCTGTTGTTTTTACGCACTAATAACCATCTTTTGGTATCGAAAATGTCTTGAGAAAAAATCTCTTTGCTCTCTTGGACGTTTGTCAATTTAAGTGTCGTATAACGCCACTTCTTCACTGCACCGGTGCTGGGATTCCCCCTGACAGCGACAAAGTTCTGTAGCATTACAGTTTGAGTCTTTATGAATTTCCTGAATTTCCTGGAGTCACATGACAATGGACAGCATCCAAAGTGAAAGTTCCAAAAGCCGAGGGAGAGTCTTACTTGGTGCTGAGGATGGCGGGGCAAAAGGATCCTTGCCGCTGAAGGGGTCCCCTAAACCTTTTTTACTCTGGAAAGGGTCGACAATGTCCCGGCCAAACGGCTGGAAGGGGTCGCTTGGCTTGGGGGCTTCCGTCGGGCCGGACACGTTCACTGGCGTCGTCTTACCTGCACGCACCGAGTGGTCATTGTTCAGTTACACTTCCAACCGCCCTCATCGGTTTCCTGGTTTGGTTTGTGGCCTCATCAGCACTCTGGCGTTTTATGTTGACAACAGATCAGCTGATAATGAACGTTACCAGATGCAAACTGGTTCGACTCACCACTGGGGGGTTTGGGCCTCGGTGGAACTCCTTTTTTGGGGGGCAGGGCCGGTGTGTCGCTCTTCCTGCTGAACGGATCATCTGCAAATACAGCCTGGCCACAAGGAAGTATCTTGTTAGTCGTCGCCATAAGGGGGCGACGTTGTGATCGTCGTGCGCTACCTTCTGGTAGTCTGGCAGCCAGCTGGCGCGGCCTTCGAATGGATCTCTGGGCTTGGCCATGTGGCTGAAGTCGGCGAAAGCGGCAGAGCTGCTGTTACTGCTGCTGCTGAAGGAGCCGCTGCCAAATGGATCCAAAGAGCCGAACAAATCTGAAAGCGACGGACGGACGGCAGTCAAGAAAACAGCCGTAGACGCTCGGGCATGCGTAATTTTGGATGGGAGACTTCCTACCTGCGCCTTTGCATTTGGGGTTGCTGCCGGAAAACGGGTCATTACTCGTGAAATGACCCATTTGCTGCAGGAGAACAAAATTTTTTTGGACCATGAAACTTCTGAAGTGATGGAAAACGAACAGATGAAACTCAATGACTGAATGTGTCACCTTGGAGGGTAGCGTGGCGCTCTTGCTAAAGGGGTCCGCTGTGGCGAAGGGGTCCAGCTTTGCGGTCTTCTTGAAGAAATCTTCAGATGAGGCCTTGAACGGGTCCGTCTCTTTGAACGGGTCACCACCAAATGGATCTGCAACGCCAAATCAAGAAATCATGACTCACTAGCACAGCCAACACAACCTGGAGCTGAATACGCTCCGCACTGTAGAGATGATCGTGGACTTGAGGAAACACCCTTTCGCCACAGCTGCCCCTCACACTATCTGACTGCCCCGCATCAACCGTGGGGACCTTCCAGTTCCTGGGAATCACAGTCTCTCAGGACATGAAGTGGGAGGCCAACATGAATCCCATCTTGTAAAAGGCCCAGCAGAGGATGTACTCCCTGAGGCTGCTGAGGAAGCACGGCCTGCCACGGGAGCCCCTGAGACAGTCCTTCACAGCAGTCAGCGAATCAGTCCTGTGTTCCTCTGTCACAGTCTGGTTTGGGGCCGCCGCAAAAAAGGACAAAATCCAACTGCAACAGACAGTTAGGACTGCGGAAAAAATCATTGGTACCGCCCTACCCACTCTGGAGGACTTGCAAACCGCTAGAACCAAGGCAAGAAAATCCTAGTGGACCTCCCAGACCCTGCCCACCACCTCTTCTTTCTACTCCTTCCAGGCAAGCGCAACCGATCCACGCGCACCAAAACCAGCAGACATTCAAAGAGTTTCTTCCCTTTCGCCATTAACTCCCTAAACAGTAACTCAAATATATTGAGGCACACGTCTGTGGACCAGTATGACCGCACTGATCATTGCTCATGTGGGCCAGGTTGGTCACAGCATATCTGTGCTCATTTGCTGTTTATCAGACACCCAAAGTAATCACTGCTTCCGGGCCCTGCCTTTTAAAGCCACACCCACTCAAATTCACAGACATTGTAGTGCAGGATGTCAGACTGGCAACCCCAAATGAGCAACAATAATAAATGCACATTTTGTTGTTAAAAACTGTAAAATCCATTTCTAGCCGATGACTTGATTAATCAGCGGTATAATGGGTCGAAAAAAATGATTGAAACGATATTCAATACAGTAGTTGTAGTACCAATTTTACATTCATCAAAAACCAAGGCTTAAAGCGCAGGTTGTGTGAGAGCGGCGCTCAATTTAGTTGTTATAATTTTTTTCTGTTGTTAGAGCAAAGAATGAAGGTGTGAAAGCGAGTACCTGTCGAGGCTGCAGGCGACTTTGCAAAGGGGTCGTTTTGGAAGGGGTCTCCTGGGGGAGCAGAAAGGTGGCAAAACAAAACAAAACAAAAAAAGCTTGAAAGCCAAGAGGGGAACGAAACAAATGCTGCCAACAAGAACCAAAAACAAAAACAGCAGGAGCAGAGCACGCCGAGGGCGACGAGCACCTTTGAAAGGGTCCGCCCTGAAGGGGTCCTCCGAGTGGAAGGGGTCGGCGTGGAGCTCCTGAGGCTGACTGTTGAATACAGACGGCTTCACTTTGAACGGATCTTCTTGCTAGGATAAAAACACCAGGACTATATCAATTGAAAAAAAAAACTTGCTCTCACTACTACTTCAGTTAGAATTTGGAGTGGAGGAGAACATTGGACCATCATATTAAACTGTCAACGAATCCATCCACATTTAAGCATCTCTCGGCTCTCATGCCCATTTTGACCAGACGACCCACCAGCTGCATTCTTTCACGTTCACGTGGTTAAAAAGATTCATTTCTTCGTTTACAGATCTTGCTGAAATCGAAATAGAAAGGGTGAGCGTGCATTTTTGCCACCTGTGGCTGTGAGACCGTCCCCATGGAGGGGAACGTTCCGTTCTCCCTGTCGCTGAAGCCCTCGCTCATGTCGGCCAGGTTGGTCATGCTTCCTCCGTGGGTTCCGTTCAGGGTGCTGTTGTACTGCTCGATGCTTTTGGACACTTCCTGCTGGCTTTCCTGGATCTGCGACAGCTTGCTGCGTGCCTACACAACACAGGCAAGGTCGTCACCACATCTATCGCGAGAGACTTATTAATTGTAAAAGTCGAGACAGATTTCTGTGAAACGCGGACCGCACACCGAAGCACTTTTGGTCTTTACACAACTCTGCAATTCACACGAGTTTAGCAACGGAGTCTGTGGACGTTTGTCTGATTTTGTCATTTCCAACTTCAGCGATTTGAATATCAGTTATATACTGCTGAGATCAAATTGTTCCTTTTGGCTCTACTGTGGCCATTAGAGAAAGCCGTGAAAAAGACTTGCTTTTTAATCTTTTTTCATTAGGATAATGGATGTATGCATGGATGAGTTGAATCCCACATTGTAGATCAAATCGGTTCCAAAGTTAGAAACAAACATATTCTTACCAGAGTGCAACATGTTTCAATTTTTGGAAAAGGAGCCAAATTTCATGTAATTTTAATTTCAGACTAAATGACTTTTTTTTTTAAATCAAATGTACAGCACCCTCTGCTGACGATGGAGAGGAATTACATTTCACCTGGTTGATCTCATCCTGCGTGGCCTTCAGAGACTTGATGATGGTCTCCAGCTGGATCTTGCCGGCAGCCAGACTCTGCTCCAGCTGGTCCTCCTCCTGCTGCAGCCGGCTCAGGTCGGCCTTGGCCCGGCCCAGCTCCTCCTCCTGGTTCTGCAGATCCGACTCTTGAGAGTGGATCTGACTCTGCAGCGTTGAAATCTGCCAGAACCACCACAAGATGAGGTGAAGAAATGCAGATTTTCCAGAGTTTCAACATCTAAACCAGGGGCTCTGAAATTTGGGAGGTCCAGATGCCCCTTAGAATCCTAACTTTAATTTGACATAACGACCAGGAGATGAGATAACCTTTGTTGTGGAAATACGTTATCGCCGCCCCCCCCACCCCACAAAAACTAAATATTGTCATGACTGATTGACTGATTGATTGATTGCTTGCTTGCTCACCATCTGAGACTCCTCCTGACACTTGATGCGGACCTCGTTCAGCATGTCCTCCAGCTTGTGCTTCTGCTGGTCCATCTCCTCCAGGCGGTCCTGGGCATCCTGTTTCTGCGCCTCCAGCTCCTGCAGACAGGCCGCTTCTCGGTCCAGGTCATTCTGCATCTCCTGAAACCGCAAGACGAGCATGATGGAACCACACCGGGCCAACGGCCAACCGTGTGGCAAACACGTGTGAAAGGCCGGCTTACCTGCACCTCGGCGCTCTTGTGCCTGATGGCCTCTTCCGCCTCTCTGATGTCCTGCTCCAGAGTGTACTTCTCCCTGGCGCGCACACACAAATGCATATAAAAGAAAAAAAAAAAGATAAGAAGAACAATAAAACAAGCAGCTCTGTGTGGGCACGTCAACGTGTTCGCCGTTGAAGACACCGGACTGGAATTCTACGACATTTGAAATAACTCATCGGATCGAGAGATCCATAAAAGGCGAAGTATGACAACAGTGGGGCAGTGAAAGCAAAACCATTGAGGGTCCAGCAACCCAATGCCATGGAAGATCACGGTTCAATATTCACACGCGAGCGATAGTCTTGGTTTTCAAGCAACCCAGTATTTATTTATTTATTTATGTTTACCATTGGATTTGCAGGGGACAATTTGCTAAGTTGCGCCACAACATGTCAGGCAGCACTAAGCTCCACATTGAATACCAGCTCATGTTGACATATTTTTCACGCTTAGAAATAAACACCAAAACACTTCATACTTGCCATCCAGGTTTTTTTAGTTGCACAGTTTTCAAAGTTCAAGTTCAAATACATTGTACCAAGAAGAAATTAAGAGTTGCACAATTCTTAGCAACATTTGCAAGAGAGCACATTGAGTCATACCTCAAATGAAATGTCACAAATTATCACTCCATTTAAATTACAAACATAATCATTTACATTGGGTCAATTTTCATTACGTGTGTGTGTGTGTGTGTGTGTGTGTGTGTGTGTGTGTGTGTGTGTGTGTGTGTGTGTTTGCAGGCGAGAATGCCAGTCCAGGTCCAGAGGGTGACTTGTGCGATTTACCTGAGCGTATTCCACTGGGTAAAGGCAAGAGTGCTGACGCAGCATTATGGAGAGAATAAGTCATGAGCAAACAAAATACACACACATTGAAGTAGTGTGTGCGTGTTGTGGTGGGTTGTTGGGTCGGTGACAAACGCACGTGAGGACGCACCATGATGATGAGTTGGGGAAAGGAGGGTCGGGCGTTGCGGCTTTTCTTCTTCTTCTTTGACTCTTTTTAATGATCATTATGGCCCCAAGGTTGCAAAGAAAGGTGTTTGTGAAAATTAGGCCCCTGGAGCTAATTTTTCACTGACCAACATCAACATTTGATCGGCATATCTCGCACGTTTCATCCAACCTGGATTTGGCTATGTATTCTCTGCGACGAATCATTGCTGTTCTTTCACTGCGATGTCACACACTTCGGTTCAAACTTTTTTTTTGGTTGCATGGTGGAGAATGATCATTCTTAGAGAGGGAGGTTTAGGTCAGAGTTTAGGTGGGGCGTCCGATGTGTTCATGGCAAGTGAATGAATGCTTCAAAAACAGCACGGCACATTCATCACACGTGAAAAGATTCCGATGGAATCATGTCACCTTCCCTTACCTCTGCAGCTGGGCGATCTCCTGACTGATGTCGTCCAGCTCCTTGATCCCCGTAAACTCGCCCGAACCCACCGAGCTGGAGCTGTCCTGCACATGGAGGAGGTGGGAAGGGTAGTTGGGGGTGTAAAACACAGAGCAAGAAAGGGTCAGTGAAGCGTGGGCAAACGCGGTCGACGGGGCCGAAGCGGGGAGGCGACGTGAAGGGAAAGATCCAGACAGTCGATGAGCACGGAGGGTCAAACGAGTGGGCGGGTGAGGGGCTGCAAAGGGGAGGGGCTGACCATCCATGCCGGAGCAATTGCATGAATTCCAGAACAGCAATTTCTTGTTTGCCTCTCTGGATTATTCCCAGTTGTTTGTTAAGACTTGATTCCTACTGTGCATTAATGGAGTCATCTCATTGATCAGACAAATATGTGCGCAGAGCAGGTGGACACAGCAACTGTAGAAATATGACACGTCGACACGTTTCTTGATTGACGCAAGGTGGCTTCAAACAGCTATTAGAGATGACCCTCTGTTCTGCAATGACAGACACCCTCCATTCCCCTAAAAAGCAAGTTCTGCATCCTTGGGCCATCGGGCTTTCTCCTCTGTGTGGAAGCCCCCCAGACCGCCTGAGAAAGTCCCCCAGATCACTGACGCCTTAAAACGAGATCTGAAAGCTTTTCTTTTTGCCTTTTCCCTTGGCCTCCTTGACTTTTTGAAACATATTTGACACTGTCGCACTTTGAGACTGGTGAAATATACTGTAAAGCGCATGTGGATCCCTTTGAGTCATATCGAGAATATTTCGATTACGCAAGGAACATCACATGATATGACATGATATGTTCTGTGTGCCTGCCCAACATGGCACAACCTTTTGCATTAGAGCGTGACATGACCCAGACATTTCCCGAAGGTTAGAACGTCATTTGAGTTAAACGGGGGGGGAGGAAAAAATAGAAATATTGAGCAAATGCTTCCCGTGGGTTTGGGGGACTTGAAAGCATTGGCAAATGGAGGCCCTGAAGGGCCAATTAAATTACCTACCCACAGCTTGAACATTATGGCCTGAGGAGGAGGAAGAGGAGGGGAGAGCAAAGAAGTTAGTTGCAGACGAGTCAGCCTGGACACCGCATCATGGAGGAACCCCCCTACACCTCCACCACCACCAAAACTCCACCACCCGAAATGTTGGCTCATGTCTTCACGTGCCAACAACACATGAAATAAGTTACATGAAGAAATTGCGCTTACCCTCCTCATCTCCGACAGCGCCGCCATCTCGGATCCCACTGGCGTCATGTACCCCGACATGCTCTGTTGGCAAATCCAAATAACTTGTATTAGTGGTGGTGTTTTATTTTTCCCACATAGCATTGCACTGCAGCTTTGTTGATCCCAAGCATTGACACCCACTCATGTTTTCTCCGGGGAAAGGTGAAGGATGCAAAGTGTGGCCCTTGCATCCATCTTTGACATTCTTCAACCTGAATTGACATGTGCACTTTTTATGGATTGATTTCTTTCATAAATGGCGTTGTGAGCCATGCCAAATGGTATTGTGAATGACAGATCAAAACTTTTAGACTCTGGTGACTTCCAGCAATAGTTTTTCTTTGGCTAGGACTACAGGCAACTGTGAAAATCAATTTGCATGTGAGAAGACATCACACTAAATGTATTTATGTTACTAAGCAATTTTCATGAAAGAAATACAATTTGAATGTAACCACACCGTACGGACAAAAAACGTTTTCGCTTTATCACTGATGATGTCAAGACGAAACAGAGTTGCTTGTTTAGCAAGTTTCCAAAACAAGATGACTCTCCTCTCTACTTTTCTGAGCGTAGCTCTCATTGGAAAACGTTTGGACACCCCTGGCTTAAGGTGTCGTCATGACCTACCGGGACGGGAGTTCCCCTCTCCGAAGGCGGGATCATATCCGCCGTAAGCGACTGAGGGGGGTCCACACCCTTGCTCACTTTCTGCTGGATGAGATGCATGGCGAGGGCAAACTGCTCCCTGGTCAACTTGCCCATTTGTCTGGTGTCGGCCAGAGCCCTGCGGGGTCAGGAACGGAGAGACTAGTTGAACTGAAGAGGAACCGAACGACCCAGAGCCGAATGGGCCGACCAACCCCATAGGACCCCCCCGACAAAGTCTGGACTGCATGATGATGTCAAGAACTAACATGCTAGCGACTGGACAAATGGCCAAAGGGAGGAGGACGCTAACAGGTGTGAGCTAGCTGAGGTAACCTACCATATATGGGCAAGGACGCCTTGAGAGAGTCCAGATTGCATGAAGATGTCCTTCACTTCCAGCCCACTGACAAAACCGTCAAGGTCGGTGTCCGTCTTTAGGAAGATGTCGTCGTAGCGACCGCGGTCTGACGCCGGGACTGCCCAGTTGACGGAGTGCTAGAGAGTCGACGCTACCGTGAGACTTGAAGACCGATCTGATTCGACGTTGGATCTCGTACCTGTCCAGACTTGAGGGTGTGTTTGGGGGACAGGCTGCCCGTACTGTTCAGGGAGTTCATGCTGCCGTGGGACGGCGTGGAGCGCAGGGAGTCTTTGGGAGGCGGCGGGCTAGCCGGTAGCGGGGGGACCCCGCCCACCACCGAGCACAAGCTTTTTTTCCTCTTGGATGGGGGGATGAGGGCGGTGGGCAGGTGGGCGGGAACGGGTTCCTTCTCCAGCGCACGGTACACCAGGTGCATGGCCTGCCATGGAACGAGACAAAAAAAAAAAAAACAGATTCTCTCATCTGGGAAGTTCTGATGTCGCTGCACAACGTTTGAACGAGGCAATAGGGACAGCTATTTATTCACAGTTTAGCGTCATCCAGGTCGAGTACACGTAAAGACAAGGAATTAAATTAAAAAACACTAAAACCAAAATGAGGACAATCTGACCTTGAAGGGTGGCGTTACCTCATGACGTGGAATGACAAAGTGAAATCCAATGGGGGGGAAAAAAAGTCAGCAACATTTGCTGAGTTTGGGAAAGCTGTGAAAATGGCTCACCACGGCAAACTCGTCTCGGTCCAGATGGCCGTCTTTATCAATGTCACTCAGGTCCCAAACCTGCCGGCAGCGTTAAGGAGCACAAGGAGGGTGAGACGCTTGGATTGACGCTTGGATTTAAAAAGGTTAATGGGAAGATGACAAAAAGGCCTTAAACAACCATGCGGGGCGAGGGCAAACCTTGCCGAGGACGTCCAGAGGCAACTTTGAATTGATGAGGACGGGTCGGACCTTCTCTCCTGACAGCAGGCCGTTGAGCGGCGAGAGGCTTTCAAAAATACCGTCAAATTTGTTCTTTTCCTCCGGCTGAAACAAATATTTGTCTTTTGTTTTTTGATGTAGAATTTTAAGAAAACATACAACTTGGTTGTGTACTTCCATACCCTGACAGCCCAGTGGGCTTCAGTGGAGGTGCTCAGAGAAGGACTGCTGTTGTCCTTCTGCAAACAATTTTTTAAAAGTCAAAATGAAATACAAATCAACTAGAATGAAAAATTCCAAAATATTATGACCCAGATTTGTACAAATTTATTTGTTATTTATTCAACATTTGAGTAATATTTTTAATTGGCCTAATATTTAGAGCAATTCATTGTAAAATATTGCCAAGTGTGTGCCCCGAGGTAACATTTCTCAACTACATTTTGCAGATTACTACCTTTTTTAAAATGAGTTTTACATAATGACATTGTATTATTTTGGGCATTATTATTAATAATGAAATGTATTATACAGTATATATTTTGAATTCAATTTGATATTTTTATCATTATACAACAGATTATTTTTGTTTTATTTATCACAATGTAAAACCAAACATTTTTTAAAATGCACTTTCTGCTATTTTTAATTTGATCTGTGCGCAGTTGTCCTGAGTAAAATGTATGATGATGACTGACAGATGGTTTTTTTTCCCCCCAAATGAGGACTCGAGGTGGAGGCCACTCACAAATTTGGGCGGCGGCACACTGAGGTTGAGGCTGGACACACTGACGTCATGGCCGCTCTGTGCGCAGGCCACCAATCGCAGCGCCACGTAAAAACCCTTTTGGCAGTAGAGAGCATGGAAAAGACGTTGACTGTAATGAAGTCATCGCTTCACGTTCTACTTCAGGAGTTGTTTCCTACCTGCTTGTCCAGGTAGCCTTTACCCTCCGGATCAGCCAGATCCCAAATCTGGAAGAAAATAAAAATACTGCAGCCGCCGTCTTGTCTTTCAATAACCATTATAACGCTTATTCACAAAATAGTTTTATCAGCATCGGGTACACTAATTGGACAAATTAGCTATCTCGTGGGCTCCTAAATACCCCCCCCCCTCAAAAAAAAAATTGACGATTTAGTATCACACCTCATATGATGACACCTCTGTCCAATTGGTCAAATTCCTGAGTAGAAGTCAGAGCCTTGGAATTGGACCCCAAATGGCTCCACCAAACTAAAATGGCCGACTTCGTGTTTAATTTCGAGCAAGTGACCTTGATTTTTTCTGACATTATAAACATGCCTGTCCAACTTGAATTGGGTGTAGGTTACTTTTTGGTAACTTCTACGATTTATTTATTTATTTTTTGCCATTGAAAATGGGCGAAAGGGACTAACATCACCGATGCAGGTTGCATGCTTGGGCCCAAAAAACACACACTTGACAGAAACAGCAAAACAACTAGATGGCAGTTAACAACACACTGCTACCTTTCCCAGCGTGACATCTGGAAGTCCAGACTTTTTCAAGAACAGGGCAGCTTCTGTTGGTCCCACTTTTCCCGTGTTTCCCGGATCCACCTTAGGGTACGTACACACACACACACACACACACTGTCACAATTAGCTTGCTAAGATAACATGCGAAGATAGCGCCCAGGTGCCATTTTACCTGTCTGTAAAAGTTCTCAAACACGGGGCTCCCGCTCGTCAACTGTGACAGACAGACACATCGATTATTTTCATTGTGGACTTTGATTCCTTTGATTGACCAGCGTTTGGGTAGGGCGTTCATCACCGGATAATGCCATTTAATACAATCAAGTCAAGTAGAAGCTAATTGCAGAAATGCTTGTGTGGCATTATTAAAGGGACACTTGGGCCGGGATGGGAAATTTTTCATTCTCAAGCTCGATATTTGTAGTTTTGTTTTTAATCAGGAATATCATCTTCGCTTGGATTTTCAATTGTATTAATTTGTTTTGGAGAAATAAAATATTTAAAACCGTCAATAAATCCCAAATATTGTGCAGATCGCTTTTCTATTTACACAGGTTGAAGTAGACATGAGTAGCAATGTGCATGGATTTTGGTAACAACACTAAGTGATGACAGGACGTGACAAGCCAAGCCAGGAAACAGGACGTCTTACAATGCTTGCCTCCCTGCTATGACCTAGACAGGCTGAGATGCAGGGGGGGTGTGGGGGGGGGGCGACACACAAAAAGGGGGAGTGACAATCTCTGGCTTTATTCATCACAAAAAAGTTTCAATCACTGCAGATTGTTTTAAGGGGGGCGTGTGATGCTGACATCATTATTACATACATATGTAAGTGAACGTGTTCAGCCCATCCAAGTGTCCCTTATATCAAACCGATGTAAAGCAGCAGCTGTTACAATCTCCAACATAAAAAAAGGGTCAGGAAGGATTTTGAGGTTGGCATGTATTTTTCCAATCAGCGGCTTGTGTTTCTTTTACCTCCCACCTTCCTGACATGGCACTGACCAGATTTTTTGGCCAGTCACTGTTGCCACACAAGGATCGTGGGAATGTCACTTTGCGTGTGTTGGCTGTCTATTTATTTCCCCAATAAAAGCGTGGGTGTTGAAACACCAGCATTCATCCCGGGCAGATGCAACATAAAGTGCAAGTATCGAACCTTAATAGGGGGAAATTGGTGGATGTTTAAGCTTTTATCAGGACAAACTGTGGGTGTGGTAATACGACACGACATGACATGAAATCCAAAAGATGTTCAACACGACGTGAATGACATCACAATTGAATTGCTGCTAGCTTCACGCTAACAAAACCAAGAAAATAGAAGACACTTGTGAAACGTCTGCGATGGGTGATGAGACGACCTGCAAGCAGGGTGCGCTTCTGTCTTTTCTTTCGCCCGCAAAAGTGTCGTCGGCCTGGTTTACTTCGGCATCAATTTGTCACCGCTTGCAGATTAGCCCGCTTTGCCCCGACGATGCTAACCAGCTAGCGGCGGTGACGGCGGCAGGCCAGCACGAAGGAGTCCGCCCCAAAGACGCGGTTCGTCGGGGATACGCAGTGACATTCCACCCGCGGAGAGTACCACTGGTGTTCCGTTCAAAGGGCGGGGGTAAGTGGCGCTTAGCCGGCTGCGGCCGTCGGCGGCAGCTAACGAGCCCGCTACGTAACGGGACCGCCGCCACTGCCGACGGACTGGGCCTGGCTCGACCGGCCGAGCGAGCAGATTTCCCTCTAAATGGGCCACGATACGAGTGGCGACAATGTCACGGAGTGGTGGTGGAGCACAAAGCGAACGTGTGGGGTCGTATTGGCTTGAAAAGGTATCGTGGACAAGGCTTGCATCCTTTACCTGGCTGAGAGATGTGAGCGCTGCCATCTTCCCTGTTGCTGCGGGAACGCACCCTCCCAACGCAGCCGGGAAACTGCGCCCCCCAGCGGACAGCGTTTGCCTCGCTACTCGGGATCCCCAAAAGTCGCGTTTGCGCGCCTTTCTTCTTCTACTCTTGCATTTCAGACTCTATGGCGCGACGCTGCCCTCATTCGAGCGTTTTTTTCACTGCATGTTTATTGTCTCTTGGGAACGCTCGTGGATCCTCTTACTCGCGGTCTGCCACCCGCGGATAGACATATTCAATCGTCACATAAATGTCCTATAAACGAAAATTTTTTTCTTGAACAGATTACGATGACTCCAAGATAAAAAGATAATTCTCAGGAAATAATGCAACTCACTTTGAATTTTTTGTAGCGTTGCAACATTTTTTGTGGGGAGGGGAAACAACGTCATTAAAAATTCAATTTTCTCTTCTTGAAAGAAATGTTCCTCTGTATTTTCCCAAAACAGTGAAAAGAAAATGCAATTTTATAATATATAAATATTTGGACATTTTTATATTTGACTTCTGTCCTCATAAGATGGCTGAATTCAAATATTACTCTCCAAACGTGGCTTTACATTGGGTTGTGGGGTTCTTTTTTTGTTTGTTTGAACAAAATCCGACTCTGGAGAATTGTTCAGACATCATACTTGTGGAATTACAATTTACAGTATTTCCTCTGAATAATGTTTGAAGAAAAAAAAACAAAAACGTTATGATGCTAAAATAAAGCAAAATTTCAATTCCGCTTCATCCAAACCTGGCAACTAACCATGTCCAACCGTCGTGATTGTGGATGACAAGTGCTCAGAAAAGAAACCATGAAAGGTGACGTTTATTCAACATTTGCATCAATCAATCAATCAATCAATCAATCAATCAACGTGACGCTGCTTCCGCACACACAAAAACTAACCAAAGCCCGTTGGAGTGCCAGGGCGACAGCACTTTTCATCGTCGATGGTCTGAACATGCGAGGTTGGGGAACCAAAGCAAAAACTACTCATCATCCCAGGCTTGCTGCAGCAGGAAGTTGGCGGCCAAGTTTTCGTTTTTTTCGCAAGCGAAATACGCCTGGATGACCAAAGCCTCAGGGAAGCCCAGCGCTTTTAACTGAAACAAAAACAGACGCACCATGACTTACATATCTATGCTGTCATACCTAAAAATAGGTAGGCTCAAAAGTATTGGAACAGAAATGGAAACTGGCCAGTACAAAAAAAAAAAAAAATCTAATGTCCCCTTTGGTGACCAAAACGTGTCGTGAGGTGTTGGTGCCAGATTCGCACTATTTTCAACGTTGTGACATGTCATCAGTGCATGCAAGACTCGTTTTCCTCGGTGTCACGTGACTTTTTCTGTTGAGCACAAACATTGCATTTTTGTGGTCAAATATGGGGTGTATATTTTTGTGTTTTTGCAGGACATGGGGAATCTTTGTCTGTTTGAGATTGAGGCCCTGGTTGGCCATGTGATTTGACCTTCCCCTGTCCCAATACTTTTGTCCATTGCCCGTCCAGACAGGAAAAGCTTTACTGACCCTCTCGATGGCCTCCTTCTCCTGTGGCGTGACCTGAATGTAGTTGGAACGGGACGGCGCCCGCGGCTCGCCACCACCGCCGCTGCCGTCACCTCCTCCGCCGCCGCCACCGCCGCCACCTTGAGGCTCGTTGAGCATCTGGACAAATCGCTCTTGGTGCTGCGTGATTTGCTGCGTGACAACAAACCACAAGGCATCAGAATAGGCGAGTGCTTTGGTGGAGGGAGGGGTGGGGGGGGGGCGGTTGCGCGTCGGAGGTCCCCACCTGCAGAAGTTGCGGGTTATCTCGGCCCAGCTGCTGCAGCAGGGCGGGCAGAAGGGCCGGGTTCTGCTGGATGATCTGACGCATCTGCTGGAACTGAGGCTGGTTCCTCAAGAACTCCAGAGGGTTCTGAGCGGGCGGAGCGCCGCCACCCGGCGACGGGCCTGGCGGCAGAAGAAAGACACAACATCCTTCTGGGAGTGGGGACGGAAGAAATTCAAGGTAGAAGTCAGGGCGCCACTGTCATGTTTTTGTGGTCGATTGTAGCCCTTTCCAGAGTGTTTTCTCGGCCACAATGGCCTTTGATTGAGTACGCATGCCGCCTTGATGACAGAATGTCGCAATTACATGTGCCACGAGCCCGTGTGAGTCATCAACACACAAAATGGACCATGTGTTGTTTTTGCACTTACGGTTGGCCTCTGCCGGTGGCGTGGTCGTCGTCGTCGTCTGCGTAGAGGGGGCCAGGGTGGCGGGCGGGTCCGTTGGAGAGTCCCCAAGAGCTGGCATGTCACCGGCCTCGGTGGTGGGGAGGCCCTGCGCCACAGAAAAAGGGCAGCTGTCATTTCATTCATTGGTCTTTTCATTACAAATAACAGGCTAATTGATTTGTTATGAATTCTAAAATAGTCCAACATTTGGCAGTTTTGTATGTCTTTACTGAAATAATTAGGCACAGGTATACATAAAAAAACACTACTTACTAATTATAGAAGAAATGAGAATAACAGTAATAAGCAAATTTATTTTAATATACAGGAATTCCCCTCAAGAAAAAGTTACATGTAATTTATCAAACGTTTTACAAACATGTTTTTCCTTTTAATTGGTCAAATACAGTAATTTTAACTTAATACTTTTTTTTTGAATGACAACTATATTTCAGAAATTATTTAAAGCATATTTTACAAATGCACTTTTCTTTTTAGTTGGTTAAGTAATCATAATTAAATCAACAATATATACCTGTAAATAAATGTGGAAATGAAATTGAATATTTTAGTCATTAAATAGTGTATTTTTAAAAGCTAAAGATCAATCAAATAGAGGAAATGTACCGATATCTCGAATGTCAAAATGGATGTCTTTGTGTTAGACATGCTCACAGTGAGTAAATACTCGACGGCGCGGTCGGGGTTGTTGTAGCTGGCCCGCAACGCCGACACCACCGCCTGCCGCTCGTAGCCCATGGACATGATTTCCGACACCAGGTTCTCGTAGGCCTGGCCCGTCACTGCCAGGGAGCAAGAGATGTCGCTCATCTTGTTTTTTTCCTCTATCAAATCATGGATCGGTCACTATCTTACCAAGAATGGACGCCGCCTCCTCCAGCAGGCCCAGCTCGTCCGCCACGCTGACAAACACAAACCAACATATTTGTGGTGCATTATGTCTGGAAAATTGGAATGCAATTTATTGAACCACCAAACTTACCTGGAATCTGATGACTGGACGGACGCTCGACTTGCTGCTTCCTCCGCCGGCATGTCACCAGGTTTCTGCACATCCGTCGTGACCGTCGAGGGGGTTACAGCTTCGGGGGGGTCTTGGGCTGCAGCCGACGGTGGAGACGAATCTTCGGGAGAAGTGGTTGGAGTGTTCTCCGGGGCGGGCGGTGGCGGCACTTCCGCCGACGTGGCGGCGGCGGCTTCTTGCCTGGGGACGCACACGGATGAGGAGGGCGAGGATGAAGAAGAGGATGCCGGTTCTGACGTCGAGGAGGAATCGGGGGGCGGCGCAGATTCAGGGGTCGACTTTGGGGGGGTTTGAGGGGAGGGCACCGCTTTGGGCTACAAATAAAGAAAACAAAAATTCAATGTTTGGATATACGCAATATGACAACATCATAATTGTCACATTTCCTTTTTTTTAATGTGTTCTGATTAATATTGTGCTTGTGGGATGAGAATTACATTAATTCAGGAATTTTCATCAATATTAGGCAATATTGCCCTCTGCTGTCCACTAAAAGTTGGATGCTCATGTGCTTGTCAAATACACCAAACATATATATGGCACATTAATTGAGGTAAACAGCACAAATGACAAAATGCGCTTAGGCAATTTAGCACTGGCTAATGCTAACATTAGCGCCGCCCCCCCCTCACTCAACTGCAATTCCAAGGGCCTCGTTCACCTCCGAAAATCCCCCAACCGATTTGCACTCATCTCCAGAATGGTCATTTTGGTCCGAAAAAGTCGGACATCCGCCAATCGGCAGAAAATACTTATCTCTGCATCGCTTCATCGGCAAATTATGATATTACAACCGATTTAGGACAAAATATACCGTAAATATCAACCAGCCCAGTTGATCAGACCTGTGTACATTTTGTATGATTTGTTCACCTTACTTAAAAAAAAAAAAAAAAACAACAAAAAACACATTTGAGTTGACCACTTAGAGGAAATAAAATTGAAATTAATGCATTAAATATGAGAGGACGGATTAAGAATGAGGGCCATAATTTGCTGTTTCTTTTGCTCCCCCCCCACTCCCAACATAAAAATATTAATTCAACATTACCAAAACTTTGCAAAGTTAAAACTGACCTTGGCGACCATGAGAACCACAAAGTTTTTCTCGCTGATGTTGTATTCTTTCAGCGCCATGTCGTCGTTCAAGATTTTGCCTGGCGAGAAGGAAAGGTGACATGAGCAGCGCAACACTTTTTTTAACAATACATTTCTCATTTTGACTAGCGGTATCCGTACGTAACCTGCGTAGATGAGTTTTTGCCCTGCAGCGGGAAACGCATCTTTTCCTCGCTCTTCTGCGATTCTCTCCTTCAACACTTTCACCTGACAAGCACAAGACAATGTTTCGGTCACAAATGACAACAATTCAACATAAGTCTTCATATAAATTGCTCCATGGTCTTTTATTCCATCTCCGCTGGTAAATGAAACATACAATGCATTTTCCCACAATTTAAAATTGTTCAGTCTTCCCACTTGTTATCAGGAATTGTTTTTAAGTTGATTTCTGGAGGTCATCTTTATGTGTATGTCCAGAGTTGAGTATAGAGTTTGCTGTACATTGATTTTTTTTAAAAAGACTTTTGGGGCAAAATAGTTCCTGCTGTCTTACTTCTACAATAAACAGGAGTGGAACAATCACGTTAGTTCAGTTAAAGTAGGTCAGATATGTTTTTTAAATTGAAACGTGAACGGCTCTCGACGCACAAACAATGAGGAATCTTGCACAGTCATTCACTGACACCGAGACGAGTTCACAGCAAATCCACATTTCCCTTACGCGCTTTTCAAAATAAAGCATAGCGCCACTCGTGCTATCGTTTTGAAGTTGTTAAAAACACGTTACAAATGCTAATAAAGGTGAATATTTATCCACCATATATATATATTTGAGATTAACGGCTTGACCTAATACCACGGCGCTATTTCGAACTCTATTGATTTTAACTTTGAAGGGAAAAGACGCATGTACCGCTGTGACTTGGGCTAGCTTCATTGGAGGCTACATCTCCGCGCGCAGGTGACTTGAGGTCCCGCAAACACGTCAACTTGTGTCCCCTCCCCTCACAAACGATTCATAATTTGAACAAAAGAATAAAAATCTCAAGAGCGTTTCAGGCCCGACGGAGTCAACCCGAACAGCCGCGCGGCAAGACTCGGCTAGGCTATGGTGAGCGTATGCTACAAGCTAGCCCGCCAGTGCGGTGGCGTCTCGGTTCACTCACGGCCGCCGCCACCGTGTTTACCTCGAGCAACTTTTGACTCACCGTCTCCTCGGGGTCGATGTGAATTTTAAACGTTTGCTGCTGGAGCGTCCTCAGCGTCACCGTCAGCATCCTGCCAGCCGCTAGAACTCAAAATACACACGAAAAAAACCCCAAACTCCTTTCGCACTTAACATTCGCTCCGCGTTCGCCACTCGGACTACTGAAGAGTCCTCGTCGAAGTGCACTCGTCAGTGCACTCAGTGAGTGACTCAGCTGTCTGACTCAATGGAAGCAGACCGTGGGCACAAGGGCGCCCTCTAGGAGGTCAGGGAGAGAATGACAGAACGTGTTGCCTTCGCGATTAGTGGGAAACAAGACAACCTAACGAGAGCTGATGATAAATCGACAGCACTTCCCCTGGCGCTCCGGAGGGACGTCTTCGAACCTACCTGCGTGAGATTTTTGCGTTTCAGCACCAGCGCCTTTTCCAACTTAGGAGTTCAACACCCAAGCATTTCCCAGGGACGCAACATCAGTTGGAGAAGTGGTTGTGGCGATAGTGTGGTTTATTACCAACAACTTTCCCGAAGAAATGTGTTCAACCATTCCAAACACATTTAGTAATTATGCGGAAGAGGACTATAGTACCAATGTTTGAAGACTCATCACACAACTCCAAAATTTTAGTAACTACTAGACCAAATAGTGGCAAGGGCCCTCCTAGTAGGGTGCATGTGACCCCACGGCAACATGATTTTTATTGCCACACTTGAATAAAAAGTAACTGCACATCCACTCCAGTAGGTGGCAATGGTGCCCTTGTTTTGTTGATCTTTTATTCCAAGCAAAGTGATGCATTTCAAATCTTTCAAGTTACTGACTTAAAAGAAAAACATTAAAAGTTATTCTTTCATCCTGGCCCATCGTGTGCCCCAAGCAGACGCGTAGGCTTCAATTATTGTTGTTTCCTTGACAACGTTGGAGAGTCAGATTGTCGAGGTGTGCTATTTCATTTGCAGAAGCTCAAAACCAGTGTAGAGGAGGAGTATGAGGATTATTATACTTTAAACACACAGAGGAAGATGAGGAAAATACAAAAAGGAGCATTTGCATTCAAGACCAAGTAAGAATAAATAACAAGAAGTCGAACTATGTTCCTGAGACTTTTTTCGTGCATCAATTCAAAATAGTCATGACCAGCCAATTTTGTGTTAATCGGCTAAAATGGTATCCAGGGGGAAAACTTTTTATTTGCAAAATTCCGGGCTACGCAAAGAGTGAGTTTTTTTTTTTTTTTTTTTTTTTTTTTTAGGGGGTGGGGCTGATGGAGACCTCTGAAATCCACATTTTCACCAAAGTAAAACTGCTAGCTATAATTGATGGGCTTTCCGGCATGTTGAGGTCATTCAATACATGTGAGTGACACCGAAGCTAACCATGTTTTCATGTATTTTGTCCATCTGATGTTGCCATACTTGCGATGCAGATTGGGTTGTGTGTGGACTTTGGGTAACCATATTGGTAGCAAATACACTAAACTCCCACCCGAACGCAGAACTACAGCTCAATTTTGATTTTATGCATGTCCTTCTTGTCATCAGCCTTGCCATCATCATCATCATCACCAAAGTCAAAGTCAAAGTTGTCCTTCGTGTTGTGCTCCTCGTCCCACTTCTTCCTGTCCAGCTCGTCTTGCTCTTCCTTCATTTTTTTCTCAGCCGCCTGGTGAGCACAAAAGGCAACAAACATCTTACAAACCCCAAAAATAGTTCACAAAAGTCCAGGCCAAAAAACAAAAACAAAACAAAACAGTCCAAGTTTGCTAGCTTCGTTGAAGGGGGAGTCAAGTCAAACATTTTCTTGACAATATGTTGTATGGAGCCCCACCAGTCTAAGTGTCGGCTGAAAATGACTTCAGATTGTAAACTGAGCCCGCCCAATAAATGTGGCATGGTCAACATGGCCCAAACAATTGGCTTGCTCAAAAGCACTTTGGTCACCCTACGCGTGCGGTCACCTGCGTGAGTCCCCAAGTCTGCCGGGCAAACTCTTCGGCTTCCCGGACGTCATCGGTGATGAGGAAGTTGTCAAAGATGGTTCCGGACCTCATCTGAAGGGGGTGACACATCATTGAGCACAAAATGGGCGTTTGAACGGACACCGTCTGGCTGGCTGTCGGAGCTCACCTGCCACAATTCCAGTCCCAGCACGCCGATGTTGGGGAACTTGTACATCTCCGCGTCGTGAACGTACTCTGGGTTGGGGATTTCAGGGTGGACCCACAAGCCTCTGTATTTGGGGTTGTCTATCTGCCTGGGCGTCCAGTCGCCCTGCGAGCAACAAAAAGCGAGGTGAGACGTTGACGGACGCCTGCCCATATAAGTCCGCACCGCTACGGACGCACCTTGTAGTCGGGATTGAGCATCACCCGAGGCGACCACACGCCGTCGATGTCCTCTCGCCAGTCGCTGGGTTTACGGTGTTTGGGGTCCGGGATGGTTTCCGGCTGGTCCCAATCCTGGAGAAACAACTTTTCATTGACCAACTTTGAAGTGAGAAGGGGTCACAAGCCCCTTTTCTCGCCATCTCGTTTTCTGCTACTTTTTCTTGTGTCGCCGTTCTGTGTGACAGGCACCGATGCAAACGGCGGCGGGAAAAACAGTACAAGGTATGAAATTCACAACTCACTCATCCTCCTCGATTGTCTCAGTTTTCACATCGATCATTTTTTTTCATGTCAAATTATGTCCCGGTTTTCATGCAGTACATGCACTCCGTTTTTGCATGAAAAAAATTCGCCACTCTGTCATTTATTTCAGTTCACCCGAAGTGCCAGGGAAATGAGAGGCCCAGGGAATCAGCCTGATTCGGGATTGACTGAACCACATCTACAATTTTCAGCCTGAGATGATGCTTCTGCAGTGATGGGTGTATTGATGAATGCAATTATTTTCAGGCTTCTTAAACATCTTAAACAGGGTCACAAAAACTATGGAGGGAAAAGTAAAAAAATAAATAAATAAATAATATAAAAATTGGGCTGCAACTTAACAAGAAACTACTCTCTGTGTGTGTTTTTTTTAAACAAGCAAATGGCAGAGGATACGTGGCAGGGATGCGGTCAGACCAGTCCAGGAAAAATAACGAGTAAAGTTTTATTCTTGCACAGTAACGTTGGGACGAGGCCCGAGTCCCTTATCCATTTTTGGGGGGGACTGAATAGCTCCTATTTTGTATTGCACTATGATTTGGAAATAATCGCATGTATAACAAATGGCTTTTCAAATGACAGGAAAAACCGATTAGACGCTGTATGTAATGCAACGCCTTTTTTTTTGTATGTAACCGAGCAGGAAACGAGGGTGTTTTTCCCGAAATGAGAAGCAGTTGGACTTGTTATTCTTGTCGCGCGACTGTCAGACGGCAATAGTCAGAAGGTGATGTGAACGTAAAGACTGAGTCAATTTGAAAAGCTCCAGGCCAAGCGGCTTCCAAAGACATTTGGAGAAAAAAAAATGTCAAAAAAAAAAAACAACGGAAAGTGACAAAGGAGTTTGAGACGTCTGCGTTCCCACTGATGATGGAAGACAACGGCGCGCCATTGATGTTGTCGCGCACACGAAAGGGGCCGCGAACGACACGCTCACCTCGGGCTTGGTGTCGTCGGGGTCGTCCATGGTGGGCCGGTCGTCCCAGTCGTCCGGCTTGCTGGCCAGGGGGTCTTTGATGGTCTTGGGGGGCAGCAGGTCCCAGTCGTCCTCCAGCGAGCCCGACGCCACCTCACGGTTGTCGATCTTCACCTGATACGTTTGGTCCGGACGCAGCACCAGCGTGTACACGTGGCTCAGCTCGTCGTCCTGATGGAGAGAACTAGGAGTTCAGAACATGCCGGAGAGCAGGAGGCGGTCTGTCTAAAAGTTGGGGTTTTTCTAAGAAAAAAAAGAAGGTGTCATTTTTCTGGGAAAGTCATCTTTTTTTTTCATTAAAAAAATACAATAAACCTGCCTTACAAAAGTTAAACTTTGTTGAAAAAAAGGGAAAAAAAACGGTAATGTTTTGAAAAAGTCAGAATTTTCCGGAGAAAAAACTTGCATTGATTTTTATGAAGTCTTTCTTGGAAAAGTTTCCAATCTCTCCAAGAATTTCTTTTTTTTTTACTTTCCTGAGGAAAATAGTCAACATTTTTGTTGATAAAACGTTTTTGGGTTTTTTTTTCACCAGAAAATGTGTCATCATTTTTCACAGAAAGTCTTTTTCAAGATAAAAAGTTGTCATTTTTTCCAGGGAAAACCTTTGGAATTTTCATACAGAAGTGAGAGAATATTTTTCATCAGAAAAATAAAGCCACCATTTTTTTTCCAGAGAAAATGTCACAGTTCAACATTCAGAAGACGAACAAAGTACCTTTTTTTGAGAAAGAAGTTTCCAAAGATTTACCAAAATGAAAAGGCGTTGCGATTACGGCAGTCATTTTTGCTGACCTTGCACTGAATGTTTTTCTTGATGAGGTGTCCTTGTCCCTTATAGTTGAGGATGACATGAACCTTCTTGATGGGCGAGCCGCAGATGTCGGGACCTGCCACCAAACACAAACAACAACGCCGGTTGGACCTCCCCCAAGGGCTCAAGCAAGTGACTGAAAAAAAAAAAAAAACCCTCCCCTAATGACCTAGGGTCAAGGTTTCAAAATAAGTTTGGGAGTTCAAACTCGGTTCTCTGAGCCAGTGTCAGGCTTGAGACCGGGGTTGTATTTTGAAGAGAGTGTTGAACATTGTTTTCTGACCAAACATGATGGAGAAGGGCGAATGGGCATTCATCTGGGCCTGGTCGAGTCGGGCGTCAAAGATTTTGATGTAGCCTCCACCGCAGTCGATCCCCTGCTGGTGCCTGACACTGAACTGGACCACCAGGACTTTGCCCTCATTGCTGAACGGCTCCATGCGCGCCGAGAGCGCGTAGAAGCGCGCATCCTCGCTGGTTTGCACGCCTGCAACCGGGAAAACCGAAGGAAGGCGGAGAAGACGATGACACAGAACAACATTCCAGCACGCTTGTCACAAGATATTTCAAACCAAACAAAACAGCACTCGTAACTCGAAACATGCTTCAAGAGCAGTCATTTTCATAGAGGATAAAGAATATACGCCTGCGAATATTTGCGTGTGATTTTTATGTTTTGGGGCGTGGTTGGGGGGGTTTGCTGACTCACCCTTATCAAGCTCAGCGTCACCATAGAACTTTCCAGCACTCAACGTCCATTGGCCATAATCGTCCTTGTGCTTGGACTCCACCCACCTGCTCCTCCAACCATCTGACACAGGACAAAACAAAACAAACATGTGACACTTTCAAAACAAACTTACCAAATTTTTAAGGAAATTAATGAAATAGTTCTTGTCTGTTGAATTATTTTTTTTAAGTTTGACATAAAAACATTTTTTTTTCAAATTTTACCCTTTTTCAGTAATTCAGGTTTTTTTTCATTTTATTGAAATACAATAAATATTGATTGAGTTGTAAGTTTGACATAAAAACTTTTTTTTTTCAAATTTTACCCTTTTTCAGTTAATTCAGGTTTTTTTCCATTTTATTGAAATACAATAAATATTGATTGAGTTGTTTATTGTGAAGGTGCATTTATTTTTTTAACTTGAAAAAATAATTTACTGTCATTTAATTGAAAATATGACATTGTGAAGGTGCATTTCTTTTAACTTGAAAAAAATAATTTACTGTCATTTAATTGAAAATATGACTTCTCTCATTTTTAATTAACGCGTCACATTTTCTATTAAAAAATTAATAAAGTCAATATGAACAGGTGCTTTATAAGAAGGGGGATTTTTTTTTTTTTTGTATTGTTTTAAAGCTCCACCTCGATGTGGTTGCAGGCTGGCATGATCCCTTTAGAGCGCCTCGTTGTCAGCTGTAAGTGTGCACACATCACAGAGAAAAGGTGAAAAAGCAAGGAGATGTGTCTTTTCAATAGCATGGCCGCTTTAGAGTGCCTCGTTGTCATCCCTGAGTGCACGCATATTGTAGCAGTGGCATTTGATTGACAGCTCACAGTTGAGCGGGGCGCGGTTTCAATGTAGCGAGAGAATGACTTGATTTGTCAGCACTTTGAAGCCTTGTTTGAAATACTTGGCCATTTTTTCAACAGCCAACAAGTGTTGCCCGCATTTGTGTTGCTCAAGTGGAGTTTCGTGTAAGTTGACATTTTGCGGGAGTCGTTAGTCTCAGTGGACGACGGCCAGTGGGAGTTGCCGAACCAGCTTGTGATGTGACGGCAGGGAAGCATCGTCGCACCAGTTGCGAGTTGAGCCGGAAAGGTGGCATTTATTCAATGCCGCCACAATTCTCCTCACTTTGGCAAAACTCTCCATGGCGTGCACCCCCAAAAATTAAAAAAAAAGGATCCGTTAAACTAGGTGAGCATCTCCAATTAGTAACGTTGTGTAATGTTTCCTTTTATGTGTTTTAATCATAATGTAGCCTTCTGTGAACTTAATGTAGTGTTTGAAATGGCAAAATATGAATAACTATACTGTACCATGCTTTGTGTTTTGGGTGCCATATTTTGCCAAAATGTAGACTTAAATATTGTGATCAAATATAAACTTTTAAGGCCAAATACAGTGTTTTTTAAAATAATTTGCATAGCCTATTTTAATCATTAGTAGTAATTTCAGTGGCAAAATATCATCTGGGTTATATCGTGTTTGGTAAACTGTCAAAACATTTTGTGCACACATACTGAAGCCAAATATAGACGTTAATAGCGAGAATTAATGTTTTTGTGGCCAAATTCATTGAATGGAATATATTTATTTGCGAAAAGAAAGAAAGAAAAAGACGAAAAAGAGTGACTTTTGCTGCCAAATAGTGAGAAAATGTGAAGGTGAGCCCGTCCATACTGTACCTCCATCGAGAAACTGCTCCTTGAAGAAGACGGTGGCGTGGCCGCTGCAGGCGAGCGAGGCTACGAGCGCGAAGAAGGCGGCCGGCAGCGGCATCACTTGCTCGGGTAAACTGAGTTGGGGTTGAAGACGGCCCACCGCGGCGACCGTCAGCTAATACAGGCGAGCCAGGTAAGACAAGAAAGCCAAACACCTGTGGCCCGCGCTCATTGGCCGAGAGCTCGAGAACACTCGGCCTATCAGAGGAGACAACGGGTGTGATTTTTCGGAAAGGTTCGGCAAAGATCGGTGAGGCGACACTTATTACTTCCGCATTCAAGTACAGCTTACATTTCAAAACGCGAAACCACACGATGAATTAGTTGTTGTTTTTCATGAAAGTTGATATTTATCCTTATCACGAATTAAAAATATTCCCTGAAAATATGAACAGTTTTGTTCACCGATATGAGAATTTTCATTCAAAAATCATATTTACGAATATTCTTTCTGCTTATAAAGTCATTTGTTCGTAGACATTGACGTTTTTAAATTAAAAAAAAATGACAGCTTCCGCTTCGTTTTGCGTATCAATGAATGAATGACGGAATCAACCAATCATTCTTTATTTAGAGCCTCGAGATGACAAACAAAATAATTATATAAAACAACACGCTGTACATACAGATTGTACCTAAAATAATGTTGCTGCTCTTTATTTGTTACTTAAAGATTACCTTGACAATTGTTGTCATGGTCTATACAGATTGTGCCTAAAATAATGTTGCTGCACTCCTTTATTTGATACTTAAAGATTACCTTGACAATTGTTGTCATGGTCAAGAACAGAGCCGTGATAGTATAGAGGTCAGTACTCTGCGTTGTGGCCGCAGCGACCCCGGTTCAATTCCGGGTCATGGCATGTTTGGTTTTGCACTTATCTCGTTTTTGTTCAAAACATCGCATGAGGACTTCATTTCAGTCATTAACAACGGTTACGTGTAGCGCGCTTTGGCTTTCTTCCTCGGAGTTATATATGACTCACAAGTGGCCTCTTGTGACTAAAGCCAGATGCCAGCCATCTTACGTTGCCACAGTTACTGACAACTTCATTTGGGCTTTGGCTGAAAGCACCTGTTATTAGTGCGTGTTTTATGGTAGGGTGCTTGCTTTATCTTATGTGTTCTGTTGTATTATTGTTCTTTTATGTTAAATGTTCTGGAAATTGTTTTCTTGCAGCTGCAACTTTTGTGAAAGCACTATACAAATAAAGATGTATTATATTATGTTGTATTGTGTCATTCACTGTGTTGCCAAAACGACCGGCTGATTATATACTCCAGTGTATGCATGTTACAAAACGTAGTCAAAAGAAATATAGCCTTCATTGCATATCTTTATTCGATTTTTTTTTTCTACTGAGGAGAGGAGAACCTTCCGAGGAAAAGGATCGAATTCGATTTATTGTGTCTGATATAGAAGAGGAAAGGGTGGTCTGCTGTGAAGTGTTCCTCCCTCAGCATGCATAAAGCTGCAATGCCAGCAGTGGCCGCGGCAGCCTCAGTGCCCTCCTCGTTGACCTCCACGAAGGCTTTGTGGGCCACTGTGGACAGAGAAAGTCCTCCCTCGCCGTTCATTCCAGAAAGGTCGGCCTTTGCAGCACAAAACACATCTGTCATGCCCAGTTTAGCGAGAGGCTCATTCAGCTCGTACTCCTCTTCCAGTTTGAACTTTGGCAGATGAACAAGGATTTCAGAGTGGATGTCCATGTTGTCTCTGCTGGTCCACTCATCGAGCTTTGCCTGTGTCAGCTCCTCCTCCAGCTACAAGAAATTCAGACATACGTTACTTTGAGCTCCAACCGTGGTTGCGGGATGACTTTCTTCAGTATATCATGTTCCAGTGTGTTGTGTTAAAAAAAGCCGCAGTGCCAGTGGCCCAAACTTGGCTACCGATTACAACACTAGCCTTTTCCGTTGCCGGTTCCTCTCTTTGTAATGACATCCCACGGAACACTAGGCAAGCCTCAAACCTCACCTCAAAACTGTATCACTGTCGCTACCACTCGGTTTCGATTGCATAAATGTGAAATCACATCAATTGGATGGAATTTGCCGTTCGGTCGGGTACCTTCAGCAGTGGGTCAGTGCCATCACTCGTCTCCTCTGGAAGCAGGATGAGCATGCTGAGCTCATCGTCCAGGTACGGCAGCTCCAGGATTTGCAGACCCAGCTCGGGGATGTAGTTGTAAGGCATTTTCTTCATCAGATACATCATATTCACCGACGTCGTCACATTCTGACAAAAGGTCAAATACGGAGAACTTGACGTTAAGCCGCCCGTTAGGATGGACCACGTTTTAGCAATTTCCTCCCACATTCTCAGAACAGTTTTTAGAGTAAAGGCTCTTAATTGTCAGTTGGTGTGAATGTGAGCGGGGTAAAAAAAAAGAATAATAAATATATATATTTCAACTTTGAAATGCTTTAAATGTTTTCAAAGTCTTCCGGTAATGTCTTTAAATGTCGTCAATGTGCGACGTACAACTTTTCATTTCTCTTCTTTGCGTTTAATTGTCTTAAATTCTTCTGTCATATTTTGTCTGTCAAATGTTTTGTAACTCTGTGAAGCATCCGAACCAATTGAGCCTTCTCTGCCTTCCGTTCTTTCATTTTCACCTGGTTGACTTTGAACGGCATCTCTTTGGTGTCTGCTGGATCGAAGCGGTGCTTCCAGTTGCCTTTGAAGTAGATGGCATTGACCAGAGCCAATCGTGTCATGGTGCTGACCGTTCCCGGCTTCAGAAGATCTTGAATCTTATCTGAGAGCAAACGCACAAAACGAAGCAACCTCCGCATTTTTGCATTGATGACTATATACCGTACGCAACCTTGCGAGGTCTTACTCTCCGTCTGCTGCTCCACCCAGCTGTTAATCTCTGCCCTGGAAGCCTCTGGAGCCGCGATGAAATCGACGGTCTTCAGATCGGCTTTGTAGTACTTCTGCGTGGCATCGAGGAATTGCTGCAGACAAAGAAGCGCTCACAAATTGAGTGTGTAACTTATCCAAATGCGTCGCCCGCCGCCCGAAAACTCACAGATAGGAAGCTGGAAGTCATTTCTCCATAAAGGCGATTGGCCAGTTTCAGGACGTACGACGCGGAGGGTGAATTGATGTCCGCGTTGAGAGTTTGGAAGTCTGCGTGGACGCTTTCACCAGAGCTGAATGACAGAGCCTGGGAGAAGGATTTCACAACTTTTATTTTGAATCGGAAACGATTAGAAAGTACTTGACTAAAAACTAGATTGCTGAAGGGCTTCATTTATCACAACATTAAACTAAGCACACACGCGCACAGACACACAGCAAGTGTAAAAAAAATGTTTTAAATGTTGTTTACCTTTGCCATCTGTGTAGCGGTGTCTCCTTTGGCCCCCAAGGCGCGCCCGCAGACACACAGCAAGTGTAAAATAAAAATTTGAAATGTTTACCTTCGCCATCTGTGTAGCGGTGTCTCCTTTGGCCCCCAAGTAGACCATCGCTAACGCTGAGCTGATGCTCAACGGCGACACAAAGATGTTTCCGGTGGGGTTTGCTTGGCTCAAGGTGTGCAGCAGCTCGAGAGCAAAAGTTGTATTTGAGATGCTGAGGGCAGCCATCGTTGAGGCTAACGTCGTTTCCTGCAATGAGACCAAGAGCTGATGGCACGCGTCCTTCTGTATTCATTTTGCACAAAAGTGAGATTTTCTGTTGTCGATGCTTCAATCAAACATGAATTTTACTTCATTCGTATGTGCAGGCGATCAAACAGCTTCGAGGCTAATAATGAAGGCAAGCTGTGAAATGTTAACAACTTTTTAAAAAAAATCTTTGATGTCATATCGGGTTTGCTCGATAATTTGGATTGGGAGTGCCGTTTTTAAAGCGATTTTAATTTGTCTAAAATATCTGAGCTGCAAGACAATTGAATTTCTTTCCACTTGGAAATGAGATCTGATTTTAAGATTGAAAGAATGATGAACGCATCCAACAGGTGTCACAATCAACAATTCAAGTACTTTTCAAACGCCACGCCGTCGCCTGCACAGCGATCGACTGAGACAAATCATTTTGTTTCAACTCGACTATCACGCCAAGGAGAATTTTCACTCCACGGAACAGAAAACACCGTCAACTTCTGCATTTCGCTCCCTTGACTTTTTAAATTTGACTCATCACGTTACCCCTTCGTCCACTCGTGACCCGCCGCTGCCGCTTTGTTCACGCAAAGTGAGCGCGTGGCCAAAAAAAAAAAAAAAAGGAATGGAGAGGTCAAATCTGACAAAGCTCCCAAACGGCTCCGGTGCGTCCGGAGGTGTGCTGGTGAACGACACAGACAAAGTGCCTTTGGACTGCAGCGTGTGGGTGGAACGCGTGAATGGGCGATAAGTCACAGGAACAACGATAAGCCAAACAAAGGGGAACAAAGAGGAATAGTCAACGGGGAGGTGCAACACATGCTGCTATTTGCACAGAAGGATCATTTGTTTTGTCAGCCCAGCGACACCGCGGTTATGCTATGCGAGAATCGCAGCCATCAAACGTTGAAAATACACGTATGGAGTCGGTGGAATGATTGAAGCACTTGCATGAAGACAGAGGTGGCAAAAGGTACAGGTACCGACGCTAATTGGAAAGGTACAGAAGTGGCCAAAGAGTTCGAAATGTGCTCAAGTCCAAAGGTTAAACATGACACATTTACGATAAGTTATGGACTATGCCCGTTTTCACTTGGCAGAATAATGTCTGTTTTTTATGAACCTACATAGTGCTCCTATACTGAAAAAAAAAAGGGGTGGGGTGGGGAGGGCTGGATAGGTTTGGCTCCGGCCTGTACTGAAAAAAAAAAGGGGTGGGGAGGGCTGGATAGGTTTGGCTCCGGCCTCGATGCTAACAACACATGGTTTTTTTCATGTTGCAAAAGAACACAGGTAAAACTCAAAAAACTAAAAAAAAAAAGAGTTCCAAAATATGGGTACTTCAGTACAGATATCCCTGAGTAATCTACTTGACTGCCGTACCGTATTTGTACTATTCACTTCCCACCGCTGCATTTCCATACAACCATTTAAAGATACGCAGTTGAGTGTACACAAATAATGGCCCATTGCAGCTCCCGTTGGCAAAATGTGAAACCTGCGGCGTCGGGAGTAGGTTGGCTTGGAGCTTTCGCCAAACCAACTGGTTCATCTTTGCGGCCGCGACTTGTTTGGAAAGGTGTGTTCCGTGTGATTTACGGCACACATTCCAGCTTGCCTCATTCATCATGCAGGCAGGCTTTAAGCATCGCCTCGGCGATCACGATAAACAGCTCAAATTGATGGTCACCTTTGGACCTCAGACGCCTGTGACACAACCAGAATTATGTCGTCTGGCTCGCAGGTTAATGGAGGAGGTTTTCCTTGAAGAAGTACCAGCCCCAGTACCCCCCCCCACCCCCCGCAAAGATCGTGAACACATACGGACTTCTTTTATTGGTAAATATAATACATATCGCTGTGTGTTTTATGGTAATAGCCCATTATCTGCCTCGGACGCCTCACTTTTGTAAACATTAACACGTGTGCCACCTCCGAGGACAAAATATTGGTTTGAGGTGATAACTCTTCAGGTTAAATCTCATTCACGTCCTTTTCGGAGTGTAGCTCACAAAGTGGAGAAACGAGTTCTTGGTTATTTGCGTGTATGGAGGTGTATACAGTGCCCAAAAATGACAGTTGTGCAGAGTTGTCACACAATTTAAAAGTGACCAGTAGTATGAATTCCTCTGCCAAGTCACCAAAATTCTGTGTTACTCTTCCTCAATCCACCTCACGTCACAGCATTGCAGTGACTCTTACAAAAGGCACACAAAGTGAGATTTTATTTCAGGTCGTCTGGAGT